ATTTTCCCAGCTTAAGCTTTTCCAACTAAATGTGTTTCAGTAGCAGGACTCTTACAATAACGAGGACATTTCTACAAAGGTTTTTCATAAACGTCTCTCCTGTACATCTGCTTATTGCACAAATCCACATAATTATATACCATTACAGTATTTATTCTCCCGTAAAGTACTAGTATTTTGCATCCCATTTCATTCAACCTACTACTTGCACCATTATGTCTATTGCACTATTCTCTCGTCTTCTTTTTAAATACATATTTTCATTTTTTAAGTTGGAGGAGCTCGAGATTTTAGATTTTATTCAATAGCACATTTGTTGTTACTGGACAAAAGCGTCAGCTAAATGCAATAATGTAATGTAATTGCCAAAACTACATTGTGCACATAGAGGCGAAGTCCCTCCCTTTCCTCCATGGGACCTTATTTCTGAAAAGTATGTATTGAAGTCGAGGGAGAGAGAAAGATTATCTTTTGATCTCGTTTGAATTGTGACACGAATTACACACATGATGTTTGTCAATTTAAAAGATAATTTTGCAAGTCAACACAATTCAAATGTGTCGTAAAACTGTGAAGTAACACTTTTTGTGTGTGAAACCGCTCAATGAACTACATCTCCCGTCTCGCACCACACACCCAGACGGCCGTCACGTTGAACATTTCACTTCTTTCTTTCAGAATGAGGCGGAAAGTATTAAAAGAGCTGAAAATCACTCCAAGTCTGGGCCCGTTGAGAGCTGTGCATACACACAAGGGGAGTTAGTCGGTTCCTAAGAGCCAGCATGCGGGACCGGGACTCTGGGATTTGTAGTCTTTCTAGTTGCGTATTTTTCATAGTCTTATATTTCAACAGTTTTACGACAAACTGTGACTTTTTTGACGTGGAAATTATTTTTTAAGATTGACAAACATCATGTTTGTAATTCGTGGCACAATTCAAACAGGATTGAAAGATAATCTTTCTCCCTCCATTGACTTCAATACATCCTTTTTCCTAAATAAGGTCCCATGGGTCGGAAGTAGAAGGGCGGGACTTCGCCTCTCTATGCCAAATAAAGCCTTTGAATCTGAAATCCTTGAAGAACTGGACATATGTTTCCATTTCCCAGACCAAAGCTTTTTCCAACCAAATGAGTTTTAGTAGCAGAACTCGAGGATACTTCTCAAACTTTCCGTACCAGTGTGAGTTTGATCTTGGTGGAGAAGGTCTTCTTGTAGTATGTGGTCTGGATGAGGATGATGACGGGTGTGGTCATGGCTTTGGCCAGCTGGTACGTTCCTATGGCGTTATTCTGCAGCGAGAGGTTGGTGAATGCCACGAACCCACAGAAGCTCAGAGCCAGCCACACAATGCTGCGAATCGGGAGGCTTTTCGGGGCGAAAATGTCCATCTTTTGGCAGACGTAGAGCCCCAGCCACGTGACCACGAAGTGAACGAGAGTCAGGGTCATGTTGGGGAAGCCGTAGTGGACGTAGATCCATTTGTTGATGAAGACGATGCAGATGGAGGACAGCAGGTTGACCAGCAGGCCGGCGATGAGGCGCCCGTTGGCCGATAGATTTAATAAAGTCTGCTTCATGGTTCTGGAAGTTTCTCAGCTTAGCGTTCCCAATCTGAGCTTTGTTCAACTATTCTGTTAACACTGCAACACAGACAGAGAAAGTGAAGTAGAGAAGTTTAAAACGTTATACAGTCGACTTCATGCAACAGCTATAGTTCAGAAATGCTAATTGGCTGTGTTTTAGAGCTAACTAAGTGTAGTAGTGATTAAGTAAATACAACAATGCAACGTACGGATTGAATATCAGTCAAATGTTGTGAAGGTACCAAAGGTACATTTGGTGGCAGAGGAATTGCATATTTCACTATATTGTGTTATAATAATGTAATATTACTTGGAGAGCATTATGTCTATGTTATAGAACAAGGGTGTCAAACTCAAGGCCCGGGGGCCAAATCCGGCCCGTGACTTCATTTAATGCGGCCCCACAAACGCTTGCAAAGAATATAGTATGTTTATTACATGGTTACATGCAGATTTACAGAAGCACGTTGCCCATAAACTACATGTCCCACAATGCATCTCAGATTTGACATTTTTCTCAGAATTTGACTTTTTCTTCAAAATATTCATTTTTTTCTCAGAATCTGACTTTTTCCCCAAAATGTAACTTTTTTTTGATTTTGACTTTTTTTCCAGAATGTGGCTTTTCTTTTTTAATCATTTTGTGACATTCTCACTGAGTGAGGAGACTTGCATTTTTTGCCCTAGACTTCTGCTTTCAGACGTAGTTAATTATGATGTTATTACCCTATCTGATATGAATCGAATGCAGAGGCAACAATGTAATATAATACATTATTTTATAAATATTAAATATTTATATATGTTTTTTTATATAGTTACAACCGGCCCTTTGAGTGCAACCATAATGCTAATGTGGCCCGAGATCAAATTGAGTTTGACCCCCCTGAAGGTGAATGTTAAGCTAAGTTTAACTACTTATAGTTGTGGAAAGTTAAAAAGTACATTTACTCAAATACTGTACTTCACTACATCTCAGAGGTTAATATTGTGCTTAATACTACACTTTATTACAGCTAAACAAGTTAGATCGGTTTATCAAATATTATGCTTTGATATAGACTAACGAACGTAACAAAAAGTCTATAAAGTAGACTTCACTTCCACCACTTAACTCTTATTGAAAAGAAATATAGTAACATACACTAATATACAAATATAACACTGGGAATATATAAATATAAATATAACCTTTTTTGCCTTCAAAAGGCCATTTTGAATAGAGAATACTTGAGTTTTCTGACACACTTTACTATGAATAGTTGTCGAATAAATCTAGTTAAGTAAACAGTACAATAGCCATTGATTTGTAGTGCGGTAAGGGTTTAATAGTACCTCAGATATATACTTTAGTTGAGTTTTTCAGCACATTTCTGCAGTTTTTAACAGTAAAACAGCTGTTTTTTTCAATGAAGTTTGTAGTGAGTCAGAGACATCGAAATAGCTAATGGAGGTTAAACTGTGAGTTAAATAAAGTGTGTTACATTTAGTTGCCACAGTATATTAGATTAAGAATACTTTATTGTCCATTACATTTACATATAATGGATATATGTATTTTGTACTGGCAAATAAGGAACAAAAACTCACTCATAGACAGCACACAACATACAATTCATGCACACCAAAAGAGGGAAATTGCATCATAAAGTGACTAAGTGGCAGACTTAATAAAAGTGCAGAGTGGCATTAGTTTAAAGATAGTCTGAACACATCTCTGTCTCTCTCTCTCTGTCTGTCTGACTCATTCTGCCACGCATTAAGAAAAGTTTACCTGGGGTCTCCATCTTTCCATCTGTCTCCCCTCTTTCTGTCTGCCTGTCTACCTCCAGAGGATATCACACACACACCGAGAGTTCTAGAGTCTCTACCCGGGAATCGGAGCTCCAATCCCGGCCTTAGTGGTGACGAATCCCCGCTACTTTTTCCTGGAGGATTTTTCTCTCCCTGCTCTCCAGCTGATTGCAACCGTGATTTCTGGTTACAAGCCGCCCAGTGTGTTCCTGTTTCCTCCGCGTTCAACGTCGTTTAACCGGCGTGTGTTGAGCAACAGCGACCGGTAGTGGACTGGAGGGAGAGGCAGCAGAAAGAAATGTATTAAAAACATTAAATCAAAAAGAAAATAAGTAAATAGGGAACATTTTAAAAATAAGAAAAATAAAAGCTAAATAAAACAAAGCTGTACCAAAGCTAGCATGAAAAAAAACTGTTTTGTATAAAATAAATACACATCTACTTAAATAATGTTGAATGAATATCTTTTGTGGACTAAAAAAATAAAAACGTGTATTTTATTTTTCTATTTTCTTATTTTGATTTGCCTCTTCTCTGTATATTATCGTGCTATGGACCCCAATTAATTGTGTCTATAGCAAAGTCATCATGACACTGCTTTCAATTATCTATTTTTTTTAAAGATTAAACAAACAATAAAAATACAATGAAAATAATGTTCTTGAAAAAACAAGTTTCCATTTTAGATTAAAAAATTAAATAAAAATAGCAGTAGGCTTAAGCCTTTGTACTGAGATTGTGCACATTGCAAGTGTTGGATGTATTAATAACCTACACCACATGTGTCAAACTCAAGGCCCGGGGGCCAAATCAGGCCCGTGGTGGATTTAATTTCGGCCCGCAGCATAATTTCTAATTCCTATTAGATCTGGCCCGCCGGTATATTGCACGCACACCTTCACTCCATCCTGAGGGTCTCCTCCGCTCAGAGCCTGAGCCCAAACATTGATGACCTTGCACCCAAGATGAGATGCCAAGTATCTGAACTAGCATCACAGAGCAGCACACTGAGTTTAATGGATGCTTCCTTTTGCACTTTCTCTCACGACAACAGGGCATGTTTGTTTTTCTCTGTGAGGGGAATAGTTTTGTTGAAGCTGTTGTTGCCTGTGGGAAAATGTACTCATAAGAAATGACTCTGGAAAAGCTGCAGATAGAGCCATAAGAAATGCATGCAACTGATTATTTAATGTTTAATGTTGTTTTTATAGGCAATCATTTAAGCTTTGTTAGTTCCAGGTTTAATATGTGCAATAAATTCATTTCAATAAGTTTGGCAATAAACATTGAACCAGTCCGGCCCTCGACTAGCACCGATTTTTTATTTTGGCCCACTGTGTATTTGAGTTTGACCCCCCTGACCAACAACAAATGACTCACTACACACAACACATTTTGAGAGATAAATCAAGACAGGAAAACGTTTGAAAAATTAAGAAAAAATGATTAAACAATGTCTTTCTTTAATGTGGGCGTAATTCTAAATATTAAAGACACAAGTTTGGCATGAGATACTCACATGGACCATGACTTTTAATTGTATTGAATTGAACATCTTTACTCGAGGTATCCACTATGCAATATAGCACCAACCGATAGGGGGCAACATTGAGCTGCACTGCCTCCAGTCTGCCGGATATCCAAAAACAGAAGAAGAGAAGTAAAAAACCCACGAAGAAGAATTTTGTTGAGCCTCGTGAAGCGGGAATTGACAGCAATACTATGGACTGGTAAACAATATTAATTAAACTTGTATTTTACATCTGTTGTTATATATGTTATCTCTGCATGGGAACTGTTTGCTTTATTTAGCCAGCTGTGTAGCTACTTCACTTTGTTAGCTCGGGCTAACGACGCCGTTCATAATGAATGGTGATGCTAACAGATGCTAATGTTGACATGTTTCAACCTGGTTTCAACAGAATGATAATAACGTGTTTTTACAGACAGTAAAAGGAGAAAAACACACAGGGTGCTTGTTTTTAACACCTACAGGTTATACTAAATGCTATAACCAGTGTTTATAATAGTTAGCTAGCAGAACTGCTGGGTTATTGAATCGTTTTACTTGTTCTATGTCTTATTATCGTGTCAAACACTAGTGTTGCTAGGTAGATTTACTCAGTTATAATTTGGACATACTTGTGTTTTACTTGCTTATTTCCATTCTGTGCTCATATTTACATATTGCACGTTTTACTGCACTTCTTTGCAGATTCTTATTGTCAATGCAAACGTATTAGACAACACATTATATTGTTATAGATGAAACTACCCACATTTATAGAGTCTTACAAAATCAGCTTCACCTGCTTCAACATTACAAGTAACATTAAGTGACAATAATGCATTAAAACGCATCAGCTTATAATGAATATGATTCTGGAGTGGGCCATTCTGCATAATGTACCTTTACCTTTGGTACTGATGTGCTTCATACATTTTGATCCTCATACATATACGACATTTGTCTGCATCAACATATTTGAATACGTTGTGACTTTTTTCTGTCTAATCTGTGCAGCTCTAATGTATTAATACACAAACACGTACGTTAACGTCTTGTCTTCCAGTGGTCAGAATGACCTGCCGTCTCCGGTGGTTCGAGACGACGAGGTGACCGTCGCTGCCCGTAGAAGGTCAATGAGGAAGAAGGTGTTCTGTATCCTTAACTACAGCCAAGTACAGCAGGGTCGCACGACTTCAACGTCACGCCAACTTAAGATCCATATTCAAAACTACAGATTCTAAACTGTACGAGTTGAAACGTTTGTTTGAACACTCTGCAGGAGGCAGGTACTTGCTTTCAAGCAGAACAGAAACTAACTTAGAGGAGTGTTCACGTGTTCGGCGTAATGACGTACAACGGCCTCCACAACTTCTGTAGTCCTATTCAGCCACTTGGTAACAACCATCGTTTCTCAGACACGTCAACTCTTCAGAAATCACCAGCGGGGTCACTGCTAATGGATTTAATGTTGTAGAACAAAATGCGATCCGTCTCTTCAATGTGTCTCAACCACAGACCTTAGTTCAGATATTTTCCAAAAACGAGTTCTAAAATCCCGTTGGCTCTGAGACGAGGGAACAGGAAGTGGTGAAATGCTAACTCACTTCTGGGTTTTAGGACTCGTTCCTGCACCGCTCTATAATGTCAGAGCTGTCAGTGTTGTTGTTTCCTGACCGCTGGTCTCAGTCCCGTCACCCGACAGCAGCCCCATCGCCTCCACCGTCACACCAGCTCGCTCCATGATGAGGAACACTCCGGCTTCACTGTTCAGACAGGCTGGTAGGACACACACACACACACACACACACACGCACGCACACAAATATATCATAGAGCTCCTTCTTTATTTTAACTATACTCTCCCCTCTTGTGTTTCCCTCTCAGTTACTCCCAGGGTTCCAGATGTTTCCACCATTCTGGCTCCAGCAGGTCGAACGCCTCGATACACACACACACCCAGACACGGTCGCAGCAGTTTGGTGAGACACACACACACACACACACACACACACACACACTCTTAAATCACCACTTAAAGGGTTTTTGCACGAGTCCCCCACCCCACCTTGAAAAGTTTGATAAAAAGAAAAACACATTGTTTCCACGTAAAAATAATATTAATAACAATAAGTAAGTAAGAACAGATCAGTCTGTAAAAATAACAAAAGATAAATCATTTCCCGCTATTAGGTTGGGGGTGTTTGGAGGTTGTTGAAATAATAATAATAGATTAAATGTGTATCGCGCCTTTCAAGGGACCCAAGGCCGCTTTCCATGGTGAACAAAGAAACGTTTAAAAAGTAAAACATGTAATAAATAGCATGAGTGGAAGCAGGGGGACTGTGATGGGTTCGGGGTCAAAGGCCATGGTGAACACATAATAAATAAAGGAGTAACTCTTAAATTCTGTGTGAAGAATTTGGACGACAGCGATTGGACAAACCAAACGTACTTCTCTCCTATTTCTGGACTGGGGGACACGAGCTTCTTCACGGAGGACAGCACCAACCTCAGCTCGGCTCTACTGAAGGAAGACGACCCTGGAGATGCTGGTGAGTGAAACTAACGCTCCTTAAACCCACTCTGTTTCTCTGCATTGCTAGTTTCTCATGTCTCTCCAATTTCTCCACGTCTTTCCAGCGGCTGCCAGTCTTTTCCCAGAGTTCCTCGGGTCCTTTCTGAAACACTCTTCCTCTGCGGTGTTTGAGCTGCTGGAGGATTACCAGGCGCTCTGCCAGGACAAGGTACGCACCAACTGCAAATGATGCATATCTCTCTGCTTTGACTGTTGGATTAAACAGTTCGAGATTCAAAGGCTTTATTGTCATCTGCACACAGCTCCAGTGTAGTTATGGCTAGCGATGGGTTTCGTTAAGGTTTTAACGGTACTACTACTTTTATCGATACCTCTTATTGATCCGGTCTTTTAACGGTTCTTTTGGAGAAAAAATAAGGTAAACAAATTGTGAACAAAACTAACATTGCTTTTTATTTAAATTAAATACATAATATTTCACATCAACAGAAACAAATCGTATTAAATAATCTGATGACAGAATAGCTGAAACTTTAACAGACTAAGTAACTCAGTTTCCTCTAATCATTAACGCATGTTTGTATAACTGAGTTAACTCCGTGTGTTGCTGCTAGCATACATAACACCTGACGTGGAAACGTTACTCGTGATGGAGCTACAGAGCTGCTAGAAAGACAGTGGAACCCGGTGCATTCCTCCGTCTGGATGTGGAGCACTTTTGCTAAATGTTTAGACACATTGCTCGTGTTACCGCCCTTACATGATAAACTGTTATTGCACTTTAGGTAACGAGCATCGAGACGGGTAAAGTTTAACCACCTCGGAGCGCGTTCTCTCCGCCATCTCCTCCGTGTGTGTGTTGCTGCATGTAGCAGAGTGTGTGTGTGTGTGTGTTGCTGCATGTAGCAGCTGCGTGTGTGTGAACTGCACCGCCCCCTCAGGCAGGGGAGAGAGAGATCTCGTCTGGATTGGAAAGATCGAAAATACAAAAAATAATCATAGACGCATTTTGCTGTCTTTTTGCGTATTAGAAACGGAGTTGGCGAAACTAAAACTGCAATATAATCTTTGTGAAGCAATAATACATACGATATATATGTTTTACGTGTCTCCAGTACCGATAAAAAGACCGATAGCTTCGGAGCGTAACGGTACCACGGTCTTTAATAATTCAGCCCCGGGGCCCTTTAATACCGGGGCTCGGTACCCCTCCCTAGTTATGGCCAAGACAATCTTATGTCCCAGGCGCCTTCAGCAATGAAGCATAATATATATAAGACATAAAACAATTAAAGTAAACTATATACATGTCAAATAGAATAAGATGAGCTGAATAAAAGGTTATGAAGGCACTGGAGCTCAGGCGGTTATAAGTCTCATGGGGATTGTGGGAAACGGTATCTCTCTGTCTGTACACACTAACGATGAAAGGCTGACAATAAAGTTGACTTTGACTAATGATGCGCTTGGTGTGAGGACAGCCTAGCTATGACCAAATAAACCTACCAGTGTAGTTTAACTGAAGAACTGTTGACCCACTGGCCTCCTCTGAGCTTCAGGTGGAGGTCCTGCAGTCTGTGGTGCTCAGAGCCGGGCAGAACAGCAAGACAGCCGGAGTCCGCTGGCTGCTGCAGCAGGAGAACTGCTCCTGGAGACTCATCACCTCGCTCTACAGGTACCCGTCTCACTGACTACCCGTCTCACTGACTACCCGTCTCACTGACTACCCGTCTCACTGACTACCCGTCTCACTGACTACCCGTCTCACTGACTACCCGTCTCACTGACTACCCGTCTCACTGACTACCCGTCTCACTGACTACCCGTCTCACTGACTACCCGTCTCACTGACTACCCGTCTCACTGACTACCTGTCTCACTGATCGTACCTGTCTCACTGATCGTACCCGTCTCACTGACTACCTGTCTCACTGACTACCTGTCTCACTGACTACCTGTCTCACTGATCGTACCCGTCTCACCGATCGTACCTGTCTCACTGACTACCTGTCTCACTGATCGTACCTGTCTCACTGATCGTACCTGTCTCACTGACTACCTGTCTCACTGACTACCTGTCTCACTGACTACCTGTCTCACTGATCGTACCTGTCTCACTGATCGTACCTGTCTCACTGACTACCTGTCTCACTGACTACCTGTCTCACTGACTACCTGTCTCACTGACTACCCGTCTCACTGACTACCCGTCTCACTGACTACCCGTCTCACTGACTACCCGTCTCACTGACTACCCGTCTCACTGACTACCTGTCTCACTGACTACCCGTCTCACTGACTACCTGTCTCACTGACTACCCGTCTCACTGACTACCTGTCTCACTGACTACCTGTCTCACTGACTACCTGTCTCACTGATCGTACCTGTCTCACTGACTACCCGTCTCACTGACTACCCGTCTCACTGATCGTACCCGTCTCACTGACTACCCGTCTCACTGACTACCCGTCTCACTGACTACCCGTCTCACTGACTACCCGTCTCACTGACTACCCGTCTCACTGACTACCCGTCTCACTGACTACCCGTCTCACTGACTACCTGTCTCACTGATCGTACCTGTCTCACTGACTACCTGTCTCACTGACTACCCGTCTCACTGACTACCTGTCTCACTGACTACCTGTCTCACTGACTACCTGTCTCACTGATCGTACCTGTCTCACTGACTACCTGTCTCACTGACTACCTGTCTCACTGACTACCTGTCTCACCGATCGTACCTGTCTCACTGACTACCTGTCTCACTGACTACCTGTCTCACTGACTACCTGTCTCACTGACTACCTGTCTCACTGACTACCTGTCTCACTGACTACCCGTCTCACTGACTACCCGTCTCACTGACTACCTGTCTCACTGACTACCTGTCTCACTGACTACCTGTCTCACTGACTACCTGTCTCACTGACTACCCGTCTCACTGACTACCCGTCTCACTGATCGTACCTGTCTCACTGACTACCTGTCTCACTGAGTACCCGTCTCACTGACTACCTGTCTCACTGACTACCCGTCTCACTGATCGTACCTGTCTCACTGACTACCTGTCTCACTGACTACCTGTCTCACTGACTACCTGTCTCACTGACTACCTGTCTCACTGATCGTACCTGTCTCACTGACTACCTGTCTCACTGACTACCTGTCTCACTGACTACCTGTCTCACCGATCGTACCTGTCTCACTGACTACCTGTCTCACTGACTACCTGTCTCACTGACTACCTGTCTCACTGACTACCCGTCTCACTGACTACCCGTCTCACTGACTACCTGTCTCACTGACTACCTGTCTCACCGATCGTACCTGTCTCACTGACTACCTGTCTCACTGACTACCTGTCTCACTGACTACCTGTCTCACTGACTACCTGTCTCACTGACTACCTGTCTCACTGACTACCTGTCTCACTGATCGTACCTGTCTCACTGACTACCTGTCTCACTGATCGTACCTGTCTCACTGACTACCTGTCTCACTGACTACCTGTCTCACTGACTACCCTGTCTCACTGACTACCTGTCTCACTGATCGTACCTGTCTCACTGATCGTACCTGTCTCACTGACTACCTGTCTCACTGACTACCCGTCTCACTGACTACCTGTCTCACTGACTACCTGTCTCACTGACTACCTGTCTCACTGACTACCTGTCTCACTGACTACCCGTCTCACTGACTACCCGTCTCACTGACTACCTGTCTCACTGACTACCCGTCTCACTGACTACCCGTCTCACTGACTACCCGTCTCACTGACTACCCGTCTCACTGACTACCTGTCTCACTGATCGTACCTGTCTCACTGACTACCTGTCTCACTGATCGTACCTGTCTCACTGACTACCTGTCTCACTGACTACCAGTCTCACTGACTACCCGTCTCACTGACTACCCGTCTCACTGACTACCCGTCTCACTGACTACCTGTCTCACTGATCGTACCTGTCTCACTGACTACCCGTCTCACTGACTACCCGTCTCACTGACTACCCGTCTCACTGACTACCTGTCTCACTGACTACCCGTCTCACTGACTACCCGTCTCACTGACTACCCGTCTCACTGACTACCCGTCTCACTGACTACCCGTCTCACTGACTACCTGTCTCACTGACTACCCGTCTCACTGACTACCTGTCTCACTGACTACCCGTCTCACTGACTACCCGTCTCACTGACTACCTGTCTCACTGATCGTACCTGTCTCACTGACTACCTGTCTCACTGACTACCCGTCTCACTGACTACCTGTCTCACTGATCGTACCTGTCTCACTGACTACCCGTCTCACTGACTACCTGTCTCACTGACTACCTGTCTCACTGACTACCTGTCTCACTGATCGTACCTGTCTCACTGACTACCTGTCTCACTGACTACCCGTCTCACTGACTACCCGTCTCACTGACTACCTGTCTCACTGATCGTACCTGTCTCACTGACTACCTGTCTCACTGACTACCTGTCTCACTGACTACCTGTCTCACTGACTACCTGTCTCACTGACTACCTGTCTCACCGATCGTACCTGTCTCACTGACTACCTGTCTCACTGACTACCTGTCTCACTGACTACCTGTCTCACCGATCGTACCTGTCTCACTGACTACCTGTCTCACTGACTACCTGTCTCACTGACTACCTGTCTCACTGACTACCTGTCTCACTGACTACCTGTCTCACTGACTACCTGTCTCACTGACTACCCGTCTCACTGACTACCTGTCTCACTGACTACCTGTCTCACTGACTACCTGTCTCACTGACTACCTGTCTCACTGACTACCTGTCTCACCGATCGTACCTGTCTCACTGACTACCTGTCTCACTGACTACCTGTCTCACTGACTACCTGTCTCACTGACTACCTGTCTCACTGACTACCTGTCTCACTGACTACCCGTCTCACTGACTACCTGTCTCACTGATCGTACCTGTCTCACTGACTACCTGTCTCACTGACTACCCGTCTCACTGACTCCTGTCTCACTGACTACCTGTCTCACTGACTACCTGTCTCACTGACTACTGTCCTCACTGATCGTACCTGTCTCACTGACTACCTGTCTCACTGACTACCTGTCTCACTGACTACCTGTCTCACCGATCGTACCTGTCTCACTGACTACCTGTCTCACTGACTACCTGTCTCACTGACTACCTGTCTCACTGACTACCTGTCTCACTGACTACCTGTCTCACCTGCCTACCCGTCTCACTGACTACCCGTCTCACTGACTACCTGTCTCACTGACTACCTGTCTCACCGATCGTACCTGTCTCACTGACTACCTGTCTCACTGACTACCTGTCTCACTGACTACCTGTCTCACTGACTACCTTTCTCACTGACTACCTGTCTCACTGATCGTACCTGTCTCACTGACTACCTGTCTCACTGATCGTACCTGTCTCACTGACTACCTGTCTCACTGACTACCTGTCTCACTGACTACCCGTCTCACTGACTACCTGTCTCACTGATCGTACCTGTCTCACTGATCGTACCTGTCTCACTGACTACCTGTCTCACTGACTACCCGTCTCACTGACTACCTGTCTCACTGACTACCCGTCTCACTGACTACCCGTCTCACTGACTACCTGTCTCACTGACTACCTGTCTCACTGACTACCCGTCTCACTGACTACCCGTCTCACTGACTACCCGTCTCACTGACTACCTGTCTCACTGATCGTACCTGTCTCACTGACTACCTGTCTCACTGATCGTACCTGTCTCACTGACTACCTGTCTCACTGACTACCTGTCTCACTGACTACCCGTCTCACTGACTACCTGTCTCACTGATCGTACCTGTCTCACTGACTACCTGTCTCACTGACTACCCGTCTCACTGACTACCCGTCTCACTGACTACCCGTCTCACTGACTACCTGTCTCACTGACTACCCGTCTCACTGACTACCCGTCTCACTGACTACCTGTCTCACTGACTACCTGTCTCACTGACTACCCGTCTCACTGACTACCCGTCTCACTGACTACCTGTCTCACTGACTACCCGTCTCACTGACTACCCGTCTCACTGACTACCTGTCTCACTGATCGTACCTGTCTCACTGACTACCTGTCTCACTGACTACCTGTCTCACTGACTACCTGTCTCACTGACTACCTGTCTCACTGACTACCTGTCTCACTGACTACCTGTCTCACTGATCGTACCTGTCTCACTGATCGCACCCGTTTCACCTATATACCTGTAGGTCTGTGTTCTTGTCTCTGATTTGTCGACCTTGTGTTTCTGCAGAGACCGGGTCCAGTTGGCGATGGAAGATGACATGATGACAGACATGGTTGTGAGTAACAGACTACACACCACCACCTATGTGCTTTTCCAATTTGTGCATTAAAAAAAAGGAATTTTCTTGAAAATCTTACAATATTGGAGAAAAGAAAATGGCGGTTTAAAGCTTTGTGAATCAATAAAACAAAATGCAAAGAATAAAGCAAATAAATGATGTACTTTTTTAAAGCTCAACAACAATAGTGGAAACAAATCCAACAGTTTCGACTCTAGGGGTGCAACAACTAATCGACTTAATCGATGACTTAATTAGTTGCCAACGAATTCAGTCGTCGATTCGTTGGTGACGTCATCACGTGTGTTTTACGCGCCGTTAAGCTCCAACGTTATCGGTCTTTTTATCGGTACTGGAGACATTTAAAAAATGTCATATGTATTATTGCTACAAAAACATTATATCGCAGTCTTAGTTTCGCCAACTCGTTTCTAATGTGCAAAAAGACAAAGAAATGCGTCTATGGTGTATTTTCGATCTTTCCAATCCAGACGAGAAATCTCTCTCCCGTCTGTGTGCGAGGGGGCGGGGCAGTTTGCACACACGCAGCTGCTACATGCAACACACACACACGCACACACACACACACACACACACACACACACACACACACACACACACACACACACACACACACACACACACACTAGGGCTGTACCCAAATATTCGTTCGTTGGAGTACTATTAGGGATTACATTTCGTTATTCGGATATTCGTTTTTTTTTGGTTGAATTTATTGAAATCTCCAATATCAACGTAAGAGCTTGTGCCTCTTCGGGGGGTGCTAACACTTAACCATAAACGTTATCGTTTATTTCTCCGTCTTTATATGTAGATATTACTTCTCTCCGTTAATCTCCGTCACGTTGTTTCCATAGCAACACACACACACATGGAGGAGATGGCGGAGAGAACGCGCTGCGAGGTGGTTAAACTTTACCCGTCTCGATCCTCGTTACCTAAAGTGCAATAAGAGTTTATCATGTGAGGGCGGCAACACGAGCAATGTGTCTAAACATTTATCAAAAGTGCTCCACATCCAGACGGAGGAATGTACCGGGTTCGACCGTCTTTCTAGCAGCTCTGTAGCCCCGTCCACGAGGAACGTTTCCACGTCAGGTGTTATGTATGCTAGCAGCAACACACAGAGTTAACTACATGATACAAGCATGGGTTAATGATTAGAGGAAACAGAGTTATTTAGTTTGTTAAAGTTTCAGCTATTCTGTCATCATATTATTTAATACGATTTGTTAAAACGTTGTTTCTTTTGATGTGAAATATTATTCATTTAATTAAAATAATGTTAATTTTGTTCACGTTTAGTTAATTTAATAATATATGTATTTTTGAATCAAGTATTCGTCTTTATTGTTAGTTTCCACATGCCTAAAACCACCTCAAGCTACATCTAAAAGTCGATGACTAAATCAGAGCGTTTGAGAAATTGTGCAAGTAGTCCGAATAGTCGATTCATCGTTTCATTAATCGATTATCAAATGAGTCGTTTGTTGCAGCCCTACTCTGCACACTGAATAATGTAGTATATCCATACGGACTTATAACATCTAATAGTGTTCATTATATCCTAAAGCTAATACCAGCACACACTCGTCATGTTTACACTGACCTGAAGTCTAAACCTTCTGCTTCTTCGTAACGATGACGTTGTGTCTGTGTTTAGGTTCCCAGTGAGAGTGAGAAAGTGGTCGTGGAGCAGCTGTTCCAGCGAGATGCCGCCATACGACAGAGTCAGGTAACAAAACACCAGCATGTTCTGCTGCAAAAAGATCAAATGGAGTTAATAACTCAGGTTCGAAGCGACGAGACAGCATTCATTTCGACTGACCAGAGTTTGTGTTGCAGCTGGTCGTTGATTGGCTGGAAAGCATCGCCAAGGATCAGATTGGAGATTTCTCAGATAATATCGAATACTACGCCAAAAACGTCTGCTGGTGAGTTCACATCTGTCTGTTCGTAAATATCGTGTGTGTGTGTGTGGTGTGTGTGTGTGTGTGTGTGTGTGTGTGTGTGTGTGTGTGTGTGTGTGTGTGTGTGTGTGGTGTGTGTGTGTGTGTGTGTGTGTGTGTGTGTGTGTGTGTGTGTGTGTGTGTGTTGTGTGTGTGGTGTTGTGTGTGTGTGTGTGTGTGTGTGTGTGTGTGTGTGTGTGTGTGTGTGTGTGTGTGTGTGGTGTGTGTGTGTGTCCTAGCATTACTATACTTGTCCTAGCATTACTATACTTGTGGGGACCTAAATCTGTTTACACAGTCACGTGTGGGGACTCGCCTCCCTTATGGGGACAAATTGGAGGTCCCCATAAGGGTGAAGACTTGGTTAGGGTTAGGCATGTTATGGTTAAGGTTAGGATAAGTCTCCAGGAAATGCATGTAAGTCAATGTAATGTCCCCTGAAGTGATGTATACATGGTGTGTGTGTGTGTGTGTGTGTGTCAGGGAGAACACCCTCCATACGCTGAAGATGAGGAGTAAGAGCTGCACCGGCTTCACCGTCCCTCTGGTCACTGAGCTGGTGAGACAAACACTTCTTCATTGTTAATGTGTTGAAATACACCAATTATAATTTATTTTATGCATTTAAAGCACATTATGAAAAGGTTTAAAGTGAGTGTTATTAGTTATGGCATTTCTTAGCTCTTAAAGAGACAATTTTGCACTGATTTTTAACATGGCTTGTAGTCTAAAACACTTTGGTTAAACTTTTTATCAACAAAAAAAACTGGTCATGCTATATATATTAAACTGAGCGTTATTGGTGATTTCTGAGCTCTGAAAGAGACACATTTTCACCGATTTCTTTAATTGTTTGTACCCAAAAAGTATTTGGTCAACCGTTAGGTCATGATATATCCTTTATTTTTATTTCAAAATATGTCTTTCTTTTTAAATAACCTTTTTTAACTGTTTTTTCTCTTTTAAAAAATACATATAAATACAATTAAATAGATTGATAGAAAAGTCAAACTTTCTCAACATCACAAAAAGAAAATCAGCAAATGGAAATATTTTAAAGGTCACCTATCATGCTATTTGTAGCCAATAGCACAGGTCTCAGATATATACAAATATATAAAAAACATGTCTCGGTGTGCGAAAAAGTACACGTCCCACCGTCCGGGACGTGTACTTTACAATATCGGACAAGTAGATCTGTCAATTGACTTGTCCGGCGGACAAGTGACGTTTATTGACAAATTATTGATACATTCAGTTTACAAAAGGCAGAACTCATTCGCAAATTGTACGTCTCCGCCATTGTTCGTTTAGAAATGTTAGTTTCGGTTCTGCTTGTCGATTCCTAAGGAAATGCATCTCGCCGCTTTCTGTACAGTTAGACGGGGCGGGAAGTGTAGCACAGTGGCAAGGTTGGGAAGCAAAACACGGTTCCGAGTAGGAACAAATAACAATTGTCCAGTACCGGGATTAATAAGAGTTGTGAGGACAGGAGGCGAGGCCGAGCCCCGCGGACTGCAGCTCTCTCATATGCTCTGTATCAGCTGATCGCTGCACGGTGCAGCTCAGCGTCTCTCTCTCTCTTTCTACACATAGCGGATCCGCGGTCTCATATTTGTCAAACTTTCTTATGTTCTTTCTCTAACACGTAATGAAGGTTATTAAGCGTTTTAGCTCCTTTGTTGTTAATATTGACGCCATTTCCTTTATGAAGTGAAGCAGCCTCCCTGTCTGTGTCCTCGCGCTGTCCTCACATCCCCGGACCCCCAGACTCGGAGGAGCACAGGGATGTCAGTATTGTTTATGAAGCAGGGTAAAGAAAGTACATTATTGAAATGAAAATACTATTTATTTATTTTTACAAACAGTGAGCAGCTGCAGCATGTGTATTGCAGGACATGTGTAAGCGTATTTGAGTTGTAGAAAAGCGCTAGGCCTATAGGCTATACATATAATGTGTTATTATTATTATTATTAGGTTATGTCCTATGTGTTAGACATGTGTGGTTGGACTCTGTCTCACAGGCAGGTTGCAGTGTAACATCAGAGGAGACTGGGCTAACTGTGCATTCTCAAACTGCACCACTTAGAACTAACTAAACAATGCAGAGATTATTTTTACAATTCAATAACTGTAAGAAATTAAACAGTATGAATTGATTTGTAAATAGGAATACAGATTTGACTTAACGTTTTCATAAATATATTTTTCTCCCAGTTTGACTTATTTTGACCCTCTCAAAGAACCGGAATGGAGAACCGAAAATAACCGGAATCGAAAAGCAGAACCGGAATCGTTAAAATCCAAACGATATCCAACCCTATGTGTGATGCAGTAAAATCTTACCGCTCACTTACGTTAGCGGTGTCGTAAAAACCGTGGGAAAATGTAAAATACGATGACGAAGAAGAAGATTCCAGTGGCCCCAATTTTTGTCCATTCTGGACAAGTGAAAAATGTATTCGGACAAGTAAATTGCCAAACTCACTTGTCCATGGACAAGTACTCTCTAAAAACTTTTTCTCACACTGTGTCTATGAAGTGTTTTGCTCCAAATACCAAACAGATCATTCTAGCCATGCCTCATATCCCTCTATTTCACTTCCTGTTTCAAAAGTGCTGATTTGGGTATAAAGCTTTAAAGAGGAGGGGCTGAGCTCATGCGGGACCCGGCAGCTACTGTCTAAACTAAATGCTGCCGTGATGAAACGCCATATCATGGATTATCAAGGATTCTCTCTGAAACAGTTTGGAGCTCAAAGGCTTTCTCTCTTGCCGGTTATACCACAAGGTGAGTTCCTTTTTACTTCCTGCTTCTTCACACACATGCTCTCCAGTACAGGTTAGCTCTGAGTGTTAGCGATGCTAATGTAAACACCGACCATATTACGTCCAAAACAGTCGGGCATTGTTTCTGATAGCAACGTTTCTGATTGGGCCGTGGGTCCACATTTCAGATATTACGTCATATCGGACGCAAATCTGGATCAGCTCCGTTGTTCCCCCGTTTTTAGAGATTTGGGTACGGAGGAAAAGAGAGAGGGTTTTATTTTCTGACGCTGCGTGAGTTCCCCGACACACCGGGGACACATGGTGATGGAGAGAAGACATCACAAAGTGCTTTTTGCATGATAGGAGACCTTTAAACATCAAATATAACAGACCTATTTACATAATTATTATATCATTATTTAGCCTTTTATTTATGATTTGTTTATGTATATTTTCCTCATGTGCAATATTTAGTTTTTTACTAATTAAAAAAAAACATTTCCTTAATAATTACATTTTTTTTAATAAATAAATAAAATGCACAGATAATGTAATAAGTGTGTGTGTGTGTGTGTGTGTGTGTGTGTGTGTGTGTGTGTGTGTGTGTGTGTGTGTGTGTGTGTGTGTGTGTGTGTGTGTGTGTGTGTGTGTGTGTGTGTGTGTGTGTGTGTGTGTGTGTGTGTGTGTGTGTGTGTGTGTGTGTGTGTGTGTGTGTGTGGTGTGTGTGTGTGTGTGTGTGTGTGTGTGTGTGTGTGTGTGTGTGTGTGTGTGTGTGTGTGTGTGTGTGTGTGTGTGTGTAGGACCCGGACGCCCCTCTCCGGCAGCAGCGCCCCCTGGTGGATCTGGACAGAGAGGACGACGCTCGCCTGATGAAGAACCTCTTCACGCTGATCAGAGCCGGGATGACCGAGGAGGTAAAAGAGAGACGAGGATTCTGGGTCGTTTTATATTTAAAGAAAAAAATGGCCAGGCCTGTTTTTTTTTAAAGAATCCAATTTGAAAAGGACAGTCAGACTTATGGGGGAACCTTCTGAAGCAATTGGAGTCAGGACTCAGAGAGACACGAGGAGAGCTGGAGCTTTGATGGAAACACTGACGGTTTATTTTATAACACAAACTGGTAACATCAACAACTTGCTAGGGCAGCCCCTCCTTAAGGGGGATAACGGCTGGTCAGCTGCATCAGAGGGCGAAAGGTAAACATGCAGGGAAAATTATTCCCTGACATATACACAAGTCAAAGTCAACTTTACGGTCAATCTTTCCGTTTGTGTGTACAGACGGGGAGATCGAAATACCGTTTCCAACAATCCAGAATACAATAACAAAGATATATAGAAATGTGTGTATACTTTATATACAGCTGGTAAGAACTGAACGATCTTGACTTACTGGTGTGTCATTTCAAAATAAAAGCCCTCTCAAAGTGTCGTAAACAAGCTGTTTTTCCACTAAATTCAGTTTAATTTAATAGAATAAGCATGTTTGACTTAATTTAGAGAGAATATAAAGATATTTTGCCATTTAAGCTTTAAAATATTGATATATTGATATATTATTTACTATCCACATCCCAGGCTCAGAGGCTGTGTAAGCGCTGCGGTCAGGCCTGGAGAGCAGCGTCTCTGGAGGGATGGAAACTCTACCACGACCCCAACATGACCTCAGGTAACCCCAGTGTGACCTCAGGTAACCCCAGTGTGACCTCAGGTAACCCCAGTGTGACCTCAGGTAACCCCAGTGTGACCTCAGGTAACCCCAGTGTGACCTCAGGTAACCCCAGTGTGACCTCAGGTAACCCCAGTGTGACCTCAGGTGATAAACAGTATGTTAGTGCATGAGTTACCTTCATCTTCCTCTTCCTCTTCTGTCTGCAGGGAGTGTGGCGCTGCAGCCGGTGGAAGGAAACCCTCAGAGAGGAATCTGGAAGGCCTGCTGCTGGAGGATGGCTGAGGAGGTAACACACACACACACACACACACACACACACACACACACACGAATATCCGAATATTTCAATTTCGTTATTCGGATAATCGTTTTGTTTGTTTTTTCCCGTTTTTTTCCAAATTGAATTTATTTAAATCTCCAATATCAACGTAAGAGCTTGTGCCTCTTCGGGGGGTGCTAACACTTAACCATAAACGTTATCGTTTACTTTCTCCGTCTTTATATGTAGATATTACTTTTCTCCGTTAATCTCCGTCACGTTGTTTCCATAGCAACAACAACTTCCTGTCAACTGCGCCAACTCTCCTTCAAAATAAAAGCATGTCCACAAATAGGAAGCCAAGCCAAATTACACTTAAGACATATACAACTGCAACGAAAGTAACAAACACAATGCGATATCCTTACATTAACAAATAACTATAAAACAACAATACTGTAGAATAACAAAATGTACACACACACACACACACACACACACACACACACACACACACACACACACACACACACACACACACACACACACACACACAGAGAGAGATATGATATAATGTGTAGAATACTGATTATTTGTAAAGCTTAAAACACTACAGAGGGACTGACAGATTGGCTACAGATCAGTCTCATAAAGTCATTAGCATTTTTTGGCAGGTCCAATTTGAACACACACGATGAGGCAGGCATTAATGTGACACACACACACACACACACACACACACACACTGTTCATAAGATGGATGTGGGAGGACTGTAGATCTGAAAGTGTTTTTCAATGTGCATTTCTAAAAATGCAAGACTGTGAATGATTGCGCTCATTAGATTTGTACCCCAATCATCCTTTAACACCACAACATAAACCTTTCTCTTCTTATGATCAGGATGCTTTTTCATTTACTCTTACATTAGATTATATATTTATTTATTTTCTAATAATAGAGCTTTAGGAATTTGTCGAAAAATCGATTAATCCTCAGAATAAACAATCATTTTATTTGTCTTTGCATGGCAGTAAAGCCAGTAAAAGGACAAGTAATGAAAGTGTGTGTGTTAACAGCTGATTCAATCACACACACTCTGCCAGACATGCCGCTACTAGTCCAGGATGAGTCATCATTACTGTCAAAATGAGCTAACAGCGCTAACCACGTGTGTTTTAATAGGAGCAGTTAAACAGATACGAGAAAGCGATCTACGCCAGCCTGAGTGGAAACCTCAAACCGGTGAGATTTTATTTCTGTGTTTTGATGCATTTCAATAAACTTGTATATGTGATGATTAAGGACTAAAAGTCAACAGTGATATCACTGATCAGGTCTCTCTCGTGTGTGTGTGTGTGTGTGTGTGTGTGTGTGTGTGTGTGTGTGTGTGTGTGTGTGTGTGTGTGTGTGTGTGTGTGTGTGTGTGTGTGTGTGTGTGTGTGTGTGTGTGTGTGTGTGTGTGTGTGTGTGGTGTGTGTGTGTGTGTGTGTGTGTGTGTGTGTGTGTGTGTGTGTGTGTGTGTGTGTGTGTGTGTGTGTGTGTCAGCTGCTGGCGGTGTGTGAGTCGTGGGAGGACTGTGTGTGGGCTCATTTCAGAGTGATGGTCGACTCTCTGGTGGAAAAAGATCTGGTGTCGTCAGGGATGGCCCACCAGGAAGTGGAGACACTGCCGCGGGAATACCTGGAGGCCAAGTACGCCACACACACACACACACACACACACACACACACACACACACACACACACACACACACACACACAGAAGTAACGTCCCATAGCTACTTCTTATTAAATAAAAACCCACTCTGTTTCTCGCTGTGCAGCTGGACGATGGAGAAGGTGTTCGAGGAGCTTCAGGCCTCAGAGTTGAAGGTGAGATTTTCACATCAACTGTGATTTGTGAGTCACGTGACTGAACACACACTTAAAACAAACCTGTGTGTGTGTGTGCGTGTGTAGAGGGTGTTGGAGGAGACAAAGGAGCATTACCACGTCATCCAAAAGTTTGTCATCCTGGGAGACATCGACGGTAAGACACCTTCGAGGAGAAATCAAATTTAAAACATAGATTTTTAAACATTACTGATTTTCTTTTATTCTTTGCCTTTCTCTCAGGTCTCTTGGAGGAGTTCTTTGATTGGCTGACAGACTCTAAGCCCCTCCCCTCCCACCTGCTGCGCTTCATGACTCACCTGCTGCTGTTTTACCGCTCTCTGGGTTTGGCTCTGAAGGTAAAAGTAGACGATTGTTAGTCAAGCTAATTAAGTCAGGATAAATCTGTAGCGTCGTGGTTTCAAATGGTTGCTTGCTTACTCTTACCCATACTGATATATCTTTACATTTTAGGATAGATTAAGATGAAGTCAGAGATGGTTAAAGAACACACATCCTTTAGTCAAGTAGAAGTACAGATACTCGTGTTTAAAAAAAGTAGAAGTACTGACTAAACTTCTTTACTCAAGTCAAAGTAAAGAGGCTTTGAAATGTACTTCAGTAAAAAGTACCCATAACTAGCAGCTGTTTTAAAGAGTACCTGACCTCCCTTTATATTAATAGAACAATAATGTCATTGTTAGCTAATGAATGTTTCCATGCTGAACAACGGCAACATGACAACGTTTCCATTGGTCCCTCTTCTTTAGAGAAGACCAGGAAATGATGGATACACGGATCGTGTTCAAATCAATAGGCACGCAATGACTCTAAAGAATAATGATCACGCATCAAACACACATTCAGACTAAAGGAACCAGCTGTTTGGAAAATGAGAGAAGTAGAAAGTACAAGTATTTGAGTTCAACATGTAAGAAGTAGAAAGTACAGGTATTTGTGTTCAACATGTAAGAAGTAGAAAGTACAGGTATTTGAGTTCAACATGTAAGAAGTAGAAAGTACAGGTATTTGGGTTCAACATGTAAGAAGTAGAAAGTACAGGTATTTGAGTTCAACATGTAAGAAGTAGAAAGTACAGGTATTTGAGTTCAACATGTGAGAAGTAGAAAGTACAGGTATTTGAGTTCAACATGTAAGAAGTAGAAAGTACAGGTATTTGAGTTCAACATGTAAGAAGTAGAAAGTACAGGTATTTGGGTTCAACATGTAAGAAGTAGAAAGTACAGGTATTTGGGTTCAACATGTAAGAAGTAGAAAGTACAGGTATTTGTGTTCAACATGTAAGAAGTAGAAAGTACAGGTATTTGGGTTCAACATGTAAGAAGTAGAAAGTACAGGTATTTGAGTTCAACATGTAAGAAGTAGAAAGTACAGTTATTTGGGTTCAACATGTAAGAAGTAGAAAGTACAGGTATTTGAGTTCAACATGTAAGAAGTAGAAAGTACAGGTATTTGAGTTCAACATGTAAGAAGTAGAAAGTACAGGTATTTGGGTTCAACATGTAAGAAGTAGAAAGTACAGGTATTTGAGTTCAACATGTAAGAAGTAGAAAGTATAGGTATTTGGGTTCAACATGTAAGAAGTAGAAAGTACAGGTATTTGGGTTCAACATGTAAGAAGTAGAAAGTACAGGTATTTGGGTTCAACATGTAAGAAGTAGAAAGTACAGGTATTTGGGTTCAACATGTAAGAAGTAGAAAGTACAGGTATTTGAGTTCAACATGTAAGAAGTAGAAAGTATAGGTATTTGGGTTCAACATGTAAGAAGTAGAAAGTACAGGTATTTGAGTTCAACATGTAAGAAGTAGAAAGTATAGGTATTTGGGTTCAACATGTAAGAAGTAGAAAGTACAGGTATTTGTGTTCAACATGTGAGAAGTAGAAAGTACAGGTATTTGTGTTCAACATGTAAGAAGTAGAAAGTATAGGTATTTGGGTTCAACATGTAAGAAGTAGAAAGTACAGGTATTTGAGTTCAACATGTAAGAAGTAGAAAGTACAGGTATTTGTGTTCAACATGTGAGAAGTAGAAAGTACAGGTATTTGAGTTCAACATGAGAGAAGTAGAAAGTACAGGTATTTGTGTTCAACATGTAAGAAGTAGAAAGTACAAGTATTTGTGTTCAACATGAGAGAAGTAGAAAGTACAGGTATTTGGGTTCAACATGTGAGAAGTAGAAAGTACAGGTATTTGAGTTCAACATGAGAGAAGTAGAAAGTACAGGTATTTGTGTTCAACATGTGAGAAGTAGAAAGTACAGGTATTTGTGTTCAACATGTGAGAAGTAGAAAGTACAGGTATTTGAGTTCAACATGAGAGAAGTAGAAAGTACAGGTATTTGTGTTCAACATGTAAGAAGTAGAAAGTACAAGTATTTGTGTTCAACATGAGAGAAGTAGAAAGTACAGGTATTTGGGTTCAACATGTGAGAAGTAGAAAGTACAGGTATTTGAGTTCAACATGTGAGAAGTAGAAAGTACAGGTATTTGAGTTCAACATGTGAGAAGTAGAAAGTACAGGTATTTGAGTTCAACATGTAAGAAGTAGAAAGTACAAGTATTTGTGTTCAACATGAGAGAAGTAGAAAGTACAGGTATTTGTGTTCAACATGAGAGAAGTAGAAAGTACAGGTATTTGAGTTCAACATGAGAGAAGTAGAAAGTACAGGTATTTGAGTTCAACATGTGAGAAGTAGAAAGTACAGGTATTTGTGTTCAACATGAGAGAAGTAGAAAGTACAGGTATTTGAGTTCAACATGAGAGAAGTAGAAAGTACAGGTATTTGTGTTCAACATGTAAGAAGTAGAAAGTACAAGTATTTGTGTTCAACATGAGAGAAGTAGAAAGTACAGGTATTTGTGTTCAACATGAGAGAAGTAGAAAGTACAGGTATTTGAGTTCAACATGTGAGAAGTAGAAAGTACAGGTATTTGTGTTCAACATGTAAGAAGTAGAAAGTACAAGTATTTGTGTTCAACATGAGAGAAGTAGAAAGTACAGGTATTTGTGTTCAACATGTAAGAAGTAGAAAGTACAGATATTTGAGTTCAACATATAAGAAGTAGAAAGTACAGGTATTTGGGTTCAACATGTAAGAAGTAGAAAGTACAGGTATTTGAGTTCAACATGTAAGAAGTAGAAAGTACAGGTATTTGAGTTCAACATGTAAGAAGTAGAAAGTACAGGTATTTGAGTTCAACATGTGAGAAGTAGAAAGTACAGGTATTTGTGTTCAACATGTAAGAAGTAGAAAGTACAGGTATTTGAGTTCAACATGTAAGAAGTAGAAAGTACAGGTATTTGAGTTCAACATGTAAGAAGTAGAAAGTACAGGTATTTGAGTTCAACATGTAAGAAGTAGAAAGTACAGGTATTTGAGTTCAACATGTAAGAAGTAGAAAGTACAGGTATTTGTGTTCAACATGTAAGAAGTAGAAAGTACAGGTATTTGAGTTCAACATGTAAGAAGTAGAAAGTACAGGTATTTGTGTTCAACATGTGAGAAGTAGAAAGTACAGGTATTTGGGTTCAACATGTAAGAAGTAGAAAGTACAGGTATTTGAGTTCAACATGTAAGAAGTAGAAAGTACAGGTATTTGAGATCAACATGTAAGAAGTAGAAAGTACAGGTATTTGAGTTCAACATGTAAGAAGTAGAAAGTACAGGTATTTGAGTTCAACATGTAAGAAGTAGAAAGTACAGGTATTTGTGTTCAACATGTGAGAAGTAGAAAGTACAGGTATTTAAGTACAGTAACGAAGTATTTGTACTCCACTACTTCCCACCTCTGGATGAAGTTAAGTTGCTTAATTTGGACTTTGCTGACCTCTTCTCTCTCAGGAGGAGGTGTGTGTGGACGTTCTGAAGGCGTACGTTTCCCTCCTGATCCGGGATCAGCAGACCGACCTCGTGGCGAATTACGTGAGCCAGCTTCCCTCTGAACTCGCCACCATTCAATACGCCGCCTTCTTAGAGACCGTCACCCAACCGGAGATCCGCCCACGCTGCCTGCAGCTCGCCACCGATGCTGGTGAGACAGAAACACTGAGACACACACAATGAGACCAGAAAAATAACAGACATCATTATTAAAGGTCCCCTATTATAGTGTTTCTCATCAATATTTCACAGGTCTCAGATATATCCAGAACCTGTCTCTGATTGGCTGAAACACCAAACAGATCATTGCAGCATTACCCATAATCCCCTCTGTTTCAGCCCTGTTTCCAAAGTGCTGATTCTCTGTCTGTTACTTTAGATGAAAATAAGGAGCCCCTCCCCACGCCCCTCTGAGAGAGATTTGGTTACAAAGAACTCAATGGTGCTCTAGGAGGAGATTCAGGGGATAAGGGGGGGGGGGGGGGGTACCTTGGTTGCTGATTGGCTAATGGTTACAGAAGACAAGACATCGTTATAACATCATAAAGTGGCCGAAATCTGATCAGCTCATTTTCAGACTGGTTTTTATAGAAATGGATCAAAAAGAGAGAGAATCTTTGTTCCTGAAACTTTCAGAGTCTCTTTCCACAGAGGGGACACATGTTGATGTAGAAGAGACATGAAGAAGAGGGGACACATGTTGATGTAGAAGAGACATGAAGAAGAGGGGACACATGTTGATGTAGAAGAGACATGAAGAAGAGGGGACACATGTTGATGTAGGAGAGACATGAAGAAGAGGGGACACATGTTGATGTAGAAGAGACATGTAGAAGAGGGGACACATGTTGATGTAGAAGAGACATGAAGAAGAGGGGACACATGTTGATGTAGAAGAGACATGAAGAAGAGGGGACACATGGTGATGAAGAAGAGACATGAAGAAGAGGGGACACATGTTGATGTAGAAGAGACATGAAGAAGAGGGGACACATGTTGATGTAGAAGAGACATGAAGAAGAGGGGACACATGTTGATGTAGAAGAGACATGTAGAAGAGGGGACACATGTTGATGTAGAAGAGACATGAAGAAGAGGGGACACATGTTGATGTAGAAGAGACATGAAGAAGAGGGGACAACATGGTGATGAAGAAGAGACATGAAGAAGAGGGGACACATGTTGATGAAGAAGAGACATGAAGAAGAGGGGACACATGTTGATGTAGAAGAGACATGAAGAAGAGGGGACACATGTTGATGAAGAAGAGACATGAAGAAGAGGGGACACATGTTGATGTAGAAGAGACATGAAGAAGAGGGGACACATGTTGATGTAGAAGAGACATGAAGAAGAGGGGACACATGTTGATGTAGAGGAGACATGAAGAAGAGGGGACACATGTTGATGTAGAAGAGACAGGAAGAAGAGGGGACACATGTTGATGTAGAAGAGACATGAAGAAGAGGGGACACATGTTGATGTAGAAGAGACATGAAGAAGAGGGGACACATGTTGATGTAGAAGAGACATGAAGAAGAGGGGACACGTGTTGATGTAGAAGAGACATGAAGAAGAGGGGACACATGTTGATGTAGAGGAGACGTGGAGAAGAGGGGACACATGTTGATGTAGAAGAGACATGGAGAAGAGGGGACACATGTTGATGTAGAAGAGACATGAAGAAGAGGGGACACATGTTGATGTAGAAGAGACATGAAGAAGAGGGGACACATGTTGATGTAGAAGAGACATGAAGAAGAGGGGACACATGTTGATGTAGAAGAGACATGAAGAAGAGGGGACACATGTTGATGTAGAAGAGACATGAAGAAGAGGGGACACATGTTGATGTAGAAGAGACATGAAGAAGAGGGGACACATGTTGATGTAGAAGAGACATGAAGAAGAGGGGACACATGTTGATGTATAAGAGACATGAAGAAGAGGGGACACATGTTGATGTAGAAGAGATATGAAGAAGAGGGGACACATGTTGATGTAGAAGAGACATGGAGAAGAGGGGACACATGTTGATGTAGAAGAGACATGGAGAAGAGGGGACACATGTTGATGTAGAAGAGACATGAAGAAGAGGGGACACATGTTGATGTAGAAGAGACATGAAGAAGAGGGGACACATGTTGATGTAGAAGAGACGTGAAGAAGAGGGGACACATGTTGATGTAGAAGAGACAGGAAGAAGTGGATTTTGCATAATAGCTGACCTTTAACACATGTGTAGGTCTGGATGTCGCCGCGATAACGAAGCTGGTGGTGGAGACGGTGAGAGAGAGAGATGAAACTGAGTTCACTCACCACAGCCAGACGCTGGAGACAGGAACCAATAAGGTACAGATTTAAATACAAACACACTCACCGTAAATATCTGTAGCTACAACTAAATATAAAGAAATCAACGACATCTATAACCACCATGACATAAACCTGTACAAATGCGTGATTAAGTCAAAGGTTTCATTCATAAAAACTGTATATAGTTTGTAGAGAGTCTTATGTGTAGAAGTGGGAGGAGTTACTGTGATGCTGTGCTCTGATAGGAGGACCTGAGTAAGATCGACGTCATTGATTGGCTGCTGTTTGACCCCGCCCATCGCGCAGAGTCCCTAAAACAGTCCAACGCCATCATGAGGAAGTTCCTGGGTAATTATTTCTGAGTTTTTATATCTAACAAGCCTGTCCTAGCCATTTTGTTTCCATCTTCTTTTTTCAATTTATGCATAAAAGCCTAAGTGGAAACACAGAAAAGAAAATCTTGAAATATGCAAATAATAATGTAAAAACTTTCATCCATTTTTCTTAAAATTCATTTAAAATTGTGTGATATCTGGATGGTTACCTGGCTACAGTCTTTGACTCCATGTACCATGATGCATTGCGTCTGTCTGACTTCCTGTCCGTCTCTCTTCCTCTCAGCGATGCAGAAACACGACGCAGCGAAGGCGGTTTTCTCCAAAGTCCCCGAGGACTCGATGAGGGAGATTTACTCTCAGTGGTCGGGGGTCGGACAGACGACTCCTCTCCCCGCGGAGGACGAGAACTCCATCAGAGAACACCTGTGCATCAGAGCCTACCTGGTGCGTCACCACGGTTACCTTATAACCATACAACCTAAAATATAGAAATAATAGACCTTCTTGTTGGGAATACATACTTCTTAAGTTTTGGTCCTCCAAAATCAGGGGTGTCCAAACCCTTTTCACCGAGGGCCACATACAGAAAAATATTCGAGCGCTCTACCTTCAGCCTGTTCCATAGGGATCAATAAGGTTTACTGATCTTGATGTGTCTTGTTGATGTTCCCACAGGAAGCCCACGAGGCCTTCACTGATTGGTTCAGCCACAGCAGCTCCGCCCCACAGAAACCAGCACCTGCTCCTGAGGCCAAATTCACCGAGAGAGTAGCCAATGAGATGAGAGAGAAGGAGTACCAGGTCGAAACATACAAATACACACACACCGTTTATATCTAGAGATTGCTTTTAGTACACAAAACTATCGCTCTCGGGGTGGATGCCCTCTCAGCCCTGGTCTGGCGGAAACACTGATTTGAAAGATAAAACATTACATTAAGTCAAACTCTAAATGATTTATCCAAGAGTATTATTGTGTGTGTATATATATATATATATATATAAGAGCTGCAACAATTAGACTAATTAGAATAATCGCCCAACTATTTTGATTTGACTTTTCGTGCAAAAATGGCAGATAATGCTGTTTTTACCCCGAAACTTGGAGATTTCCTGCATTTGACATCATATTAAAGTGAATATTATGGCGTTTGTACTGAAAAAAATGACATTTCAAGAATTCACCTTTTTAACATTAAGAAACTAGGATGGACACTGTTCTTTTTTCTGGCATGTTAAAAGACCAAACTATTAATTGAGTATGGAAAATTGTATTTAGTTTGTTTTGCTGGTACTATGACTTAAAACGACAATAATACTTACTATATTAAATGTTTTTCTGCGTGTTAGTCGTCCCTGTCTGCCTGGTCTGGTCGTCTGGACGTTCTGACTGAAGATGTGAAAGAGAGAATCTACAACGTGCTGCTGTTCGTAGACGGTGGCTGGATGATCGACAACAGACAGGTAACTGTTTACGCCTCGATGAAGACATTTATTAACATATTATCCCAGTGAATGAATAAGAAACATAACCTGTGTTTCATTCAAAGGAACCAGAGGATTCATTGAGTAACTGTAAGAAATCTTTCGGCGCTAAAATAAGTCCCTATATTTGAATTGTTTAGTTCTTCAGGTTTGTTTTTTTCTGGGTTTTTTTTGTCGAGAAAAGTTTTTTTTTGCTTTCGTTGAATTATAAGAGTAATATATTAATCCAGTTTAATTGTTGTTATTGCAAACTACGCCTAAATATGTACAATCTTGACAAAGACGTGGCAATATGGTGTCAATATCTGTGACCATATCGGCATGCAAAACTGTTGAGTCAAATGTAGTTAAAAAAATTACTTTAAACTAAAACATGACCAAAAGTAACAGGATGAGGACTTTTCACACAGGACTAAGACCAAGTTCAAATAAAATGAACACTGTACCATTTAACATTGAGCTACAGCCAGGGACAGGCAGAATGGAGTTGAGGAGAGGAATTAAATCGACTGTTTGGTTGTGTTTTCAGGATTCGGAGGAGGATTCAGAGCGCAGCCACCAGATGGCGGCGTTGCGCTCGCTGTGTTTGCCTCGCCTCAGTTTCCTGCTGCTCAGCGTCCTGCAGAACTCCTCCAGACACCAGGAGGCGCTGCGGCTCGCTGACATCATCTCCTCTGACCAGCACCGCCTCTACCAGGTAAGAGTACACACATCCTTTACTCAAGTAGAAGTACAGATACTTGTGCTTAAAAATACTCTGGTGAAAGTAGAAGTACTGACTAAACTTCTTTACTCAAGTCAAAGTAAAGAACTTTGAAATGTACTTCAGTAGAAAATACAGGTATTTGAGTTCAACATGTGAGAAGTAGAAAGTACAGGTATTTGAGTTCAACATGTAAGAAGTAGAAAGTACAGGTATTTGAGTTCAACATGTAAGAAGTAGAAAGTACAGGTATTTGAGTTCAACATGTGAGAAGTAGAAAGTACAGGTATTTGAGTTCAACATGTAAGAAGTAGAAAGTACAGGTATTTGTGTTCAACATGTGAGAAGTAGAAAGTACAGGTATTTGTGTTCAACATGTGAGAAGTAGAAAGTACAGGTATTTGAGTTCAACATGTGAGAAGTAGAAAGTACAGGTATTTGAGTTCAACATGTAAGAAGTAGAAAGTACAGGTATTTGAGTTCAACATGTAAGAAGTAGAAAGTACAGGTATTTGGGTTCAACATGTAAGAAGTAGAAAGTACAGGTATTTGAGTTCAACATGTAAGAAGTAGAAAGTACAGGTATTTGAGTTCAACATGTAAGAAGTAGAAAGTACAGGTATTTGGGTTCAACATGTAAGAAGTAGAAAATACAGGTATTTGAGTTCAACATGTGAGAAGTAGAAAGTACAGGTATTTGAGTTCAACATGTAAGAAGTAGAAAGTACAGGTATTTGAGTTCAACATGTAAGAAGTAGAAAGTACAGGTATTTGAGTTCAACATGTGAGAAGTAGAAAGTACAGGTATTTGAGTTCAACATGTAAGAAGTAGAAAGTACAGGTATTTGTGTTCAACATGTGAGAAGTAGAAAGTACAGGTATTTGTGTTCAACATGTGAGAAGTAGAAAGTACAGGTATTTGAGTTCAACATGTGAGAAGTAGAAAGTACAGGTATTTGAGTTCAACATGTAAGAAGTAGAAAGTACAGGTATTTGTGTTCAAAATGTAAGAAGTAGAAAGTACAGGTATTTGGGTTCAACATGTAAGAAGTAGAAAGTACAGGTATTTGAGTTCAACATGTGAGAAGTAGAAAGTACAGGTATTTGAGTTCAACATGTGAGAAGTAGAAAGTACAGGTATTTGTATTCAACATGTCAGAAGTAGAAAGTACAGGTATTTGGGTTCAACATGTAAGAAGTAGAAAGTACAGGTATTTGTATTCAACATGTCAGAAGTAGAAAGTACAGGTATTTGTATTCAACATGTCAGAAGTAGAAAGTACAGGTATTTGAGTTCAACATGTAAGAAGTAGAAAGTACAGGTATTTGAGTTCAACATGTAAGAAGTAGAAAGTACAGGTATTTGGGTTCAACATGTAAGAAGTAGAAAGTACAGGTATTTGAGTTCAACATGTAAGAAGTAGAAAGTACAGGTATTTGTGTTCAACATGTGAGAAGTAGAAAGTTCAGGTATTTGAGTTCAACATGTAAGAAGTAGAAAGTACAGGTATTTGGGTTCAACATGTAAGAAGTAGAAAGTACAGGTATTTGGGTTCAACATGTCAGAAGTAGAAAGTACAGGTATTTGTATTCAACATGTCAGAAGTAGAAAGTACAGGTATTTGGGTTCAACATGTAAGAAGTAGAAAGTACAGGTATTTGTGTTCAACATGTAAGAAGTAGAAAGTACAGGTATTTGAGTTCAACATGTAAGAAGTAGAAAGTACAGGTATTTGTGTTCAACATGTAAGAAGTAGAAAGTACAGGTATTTGAGTTCAAAATGTGAGAAGTAGAAAGTACAGGTATTTGAGTTCAAAATGTGAGAAGTAAAAAGTACAGGTATTTGAGTTCAACATGTGAGAAGTAGAAAGTACAGGTATTTGTGTTCAACATGTAAGAAGTAGAAAGTACAGGTATTTGAGTTCAACATGTGAGAAGTAGAAAGTACAGGTATTTGTGTTCAACATGTAAGAAGTAGAAAGTACAGGTATTTGAGTTCAACATGTGAGAAGTAGAAAGTACAGGTATTTGTGTTCAACATGTGAGAAGTAGAAAGTACAGGTATTTGTATTCAACATGTCAGAAGTAGAAAGTACAGGTATTTGGGTTCAACATGTAAGAAGTAGAAAGTACAGGTATTTGAGTTCAACATGTAAGAAGTAGAAAGTACAGGTATTTGTGTTCAACATGTAAGAAGTAGAAAGTACAGGTATTTGAGTTCAAAATGTGAGAAGTAGAAAGTACAGGTATTTGAGTTCAACATGTAAGAAGTAGAAAGTACAGGTATTTGAGTTCAACATGTGAGAAGTAGAAAGTACAGGTATTTGTGTTCAACATGTAAGAAGTAGAAAGTACAGGTATTTGAGTTCAACATGTGAGAAGTAGAAAGTACAGGTATTTGTGTTCAACATGTAAGAAGTAGAAAGTACAGGTATTTGAGTTCAACATGTGAGAAGTAGAAAGTACAGGTATTTGTGTTCAACATGTAAGAAGTAGAAAGTACAGGTATTTGAGTTCAACATGTAAGAAGTAGAAAGTACAGGTATTTGAGTTCAACATGTAAGAAGTAGAAAGTACAGGTATTTGTGTTCAACATGTAAGAAGTAGAAAGTACAGGTATTTGGGTTCAAAATGTGAGAAGTAGAAAGTACAGGTATTTGAGTTCAACATGTAAGAAGTAGAAAGTACAGGTATTTGAGTTCAACATGTAAGAAGTAGAAGTACAGGTATTTGGGTTCAAAATGTAAGAAGTAGAAAGTACAGGTATTTGTGTTCAACATGTAAGAAGTAGAAAGTACAGGTATTTGTGTTCAACATGTAAGAAGTAGAAAGTACAGGTAATTGTGTTCAACATGTAAGAAGTAGAAAGTACAGGTATTTGGGTTCAACATGTAAGAAGTAGAAAGTACAGGTATTTGTGTTCAACATGTAAGAAGTAGAAAGTACAGGTATTTGAGTTCAACATGTAAGAAGTAGAAAGTACAGGTATTGTGTTCAACATGTAAGAAGTAGAAAGTACAGGTATTTGGGTTCAAATGTGAGAAGTAGAAAGTACAGGTATTTGAGTTCAACATGTAAGAAGTAGAAAGTACAGGTATTTGAGTTCAACATGTAAGAAGTAGAAAGTACAGGTATTTGAGTTCAACATGTAAGAAGTAGAAAGTACAGGTATTTGGGTTCAAAATGTAAGAAGTAGAAAGTACAGGTATTTGAGTTCAACATGTAAGAAGTAGAAAGTACAGGTATTTGAGTTCAACATGTAAGAAGTAGAAAGTACAGGTATTTGAGTTCAACATGTAAGAAGTAGAAAGTACAGGTATTTGAGTTCAACATGTAAGAAGTAGAAAGTACAGGTATTTGGGTTCAACATGTAAGAAGTAGAAAGTACAGGTATTTGGGTTCAAATGTAAGAAGTAGAAAGTACAGGTATTTGTGTTCAACATGTAAGAAGTAGAAAGTACAGGTATTTGAGTTCAACATGTAAGAAGTAGAAAGTACAGGTATTTGAGTTCAACATGTAAGAAGTAGAAAGTACAGGTATTTGAGTTCAACATGTAAGAAGTAGAAAGTACAGGTATTTGGGTTCAACATGTAAGAAGTAGAAAGTACAGGTATTTGAGTTCAACATGTAAGAAGTAGAAAGTACAGGTATTTGAGTTCAACATGTTAGAAGTAGAAAGTACAGGTATTTGAGTTCAACATGTAAGAAGTAGAAAGTACAGGTATTTGTGTTCAACATGTAAGAAGTAGAAAGTTCAGGTATTTGAGTTCAACATGTTAGAAGTAGAAAGTACAGGTATTTGAGTTCAACATGTTAGAAGTAGAAAGTACAGGTATTTGAGTTCAACATGTAAGAAGTAGAAAGTACAGGTATTTGAGTTCAACATGTAAGAAGTAGAAAGTACAGGTATTTGAGTTCAACATGTGAGAAGTAGAAAGTACAGGTATTTGAGTTCAACATGTTAGAAGTAGAAAGTACAGGTATTTGAGTTCAACATGTAAGAAGTCAATGTAAGAAGTCTTCAGAAAAATAAGTAGTGGAGGAAAGTACTGATACCAGAAACATGTACTTAAGTACAGTAACAAAGTATTTGTACTCCACTACGTTAACTCGTTGATGCACATCAGGCAACAATATATTTTAAATCCTGCATCAAATCCTGTAAACTCTTTGTACATGATGCACATATACACAAATATATGCAGTAAAATAAGACGAATACTATACTCAGTTTCTCACATATTTATATTTTGTGTAAAAATTGTCTTTAGTTTTTTATTTGTTACAAGTTTTTGTAATAGCTACACCAAAGCAAGTTCCTCGTATGTGTAAACCCACTAAAACATATTTAGATTCTCTTCTTGTTGTCTTTTATTCACTGTCATTTGTTTGTTTGTTTACTCACAGGTGTTCTCTAAGGAGGAGCTGAGGAGGTTCCTGCAGAAGTTGAGGGAGTCTTCTCTCGCTCTGTTGGACCGAGGACTCGACCCGCTGGGCTATGAGCTGCAGCCGTGAACACACACACACACACACACACACACACACACACACACACACACACACACACACACACACACACACACACACACACACACACACACACACACACACACACACACACACACACACACACACAGTGTCTGAATCACTGATGTGTTTTTTTTACGTTTTATCAAAAATAAAAGCCTTTGTTTTCCTGTACTTGTGTCGCGTTATCTTTATTTCAATTGGACTTCTTATTGCTGATTACTTAGGGCCTTCAAACTGCATGGTTGTCTCTTTTACAACAAAAACCTGAACAATATTTCGAGTAGGTAAGTAAGAATTTATTTGCTGTTATATTTAAGACAAAAAAAATAATTAAAATAATTGAGCAATACCATTTTGTTGTGTTTTTGAATTTTTTTTATATTTGTTTCGTCGGCTTTAAATAAAATCCCTTACAAAACCGACGTATTAAAATAACGTATGAATAGTTTAATATACACAATATTATGTAGTAATGTACATACACTACAAGTACATTAACAAATCCATGCTGTGTAGTATATTTATATAATAGTAGTAGTATAATATGAGACAAACATAATACTACTCAATTTGGATTTGAAGCACAATTCTTAAGTCATTATTTTAAGAAACTTAGACATTATTTCGAGAAATGTGTCAAAATAAATTAAAGGGAGGTTTTTTGTTTTTTATCGGACCGCTAAGTCTCCAGCTTGTATACATGGTGACTTTAGTTACATCCATGTTGACTGCTTACTAGTGGAATAAATAAACACTAGTGTGCAATATGTAAATTGGAGACATTTATTACTAATGACACGTTTTAATTTTGTATTTTAATATCATGTGCATGCCCCTATGTGGGATGAATAATAAAGGTATCCTGATTGAGATTTTGGTAGGAACAAATAATCTTAAAGTGATCTTATTAGAGAATACAAAATAAAAACATCATTGTTATTGTATGCCTTCCCTCCATTATTATTATATGTGCAGTGTCAGTGTTCTGCCAGCAGGAGAGTCACATGGACAAGTGAAGGAACAACTGCAGAGTCAACATTGGACCTTAGAGCCCCAAACTGTGCAGCAAACTGGGTGAAAACCGCCTTTTGAAGGATATTATTTAACCGAGAATCACTGACAAGGTAGGTCAACACAACAAAGACTGAAATATATATATATGATATGTTTAAAATACGTTGTATTGCAGAAGCACAAGTGGGTGGTTAGCAGCGTGCTAACAGGCCTCGGAGCCTCGTGTTTTCTTGGCTGAATGTACCCGGGTTTATGAGCGGGAACGCGGCCACGATGTGTGGACGATGTTACGATAAAAACGACACATTAAATTAACATTTTAGAACTGAAATTCACTGCTTTTACAGGTTTTAGTTACGGCTTTGTTGTTACGGGTATTAATGTTAAGTTGTTTATAGTTTTTAATAGTTTAGTTAAGGCAGCGGTAACCGTAGCTAAGCTTGTTAAGTTTTTGAAAGTTCGCCAACGGTCACTCATTTAAAATCAACTGTTGCTAGGCAGAGGATGTTGTGTTTAATATGGGATGATTTTACTCTTAACTAATGTATTAAACTGGTGTTTGAGTTACTTGCAGTTAATTACAAAGGGAGGACTTTGTGTTTTTAGCCTGAGATGTAATGTACAAGACTAGATTTTACTTTATTGCTCCAAACATGGGACATTTTGCCATATACATCAACTTACATTTTCACTATAAAAAGCGCCAAATTACAGCTAACAAGATTTAAAAGTAGGATATTATTATATTATTAATTATTTTTTATTTTTCGTTAAGTGTGCAAGGGAGTAACGAGATGCAATGCTAACTCGCATTATTATTTATTACAACATATTATTAGGCATGTATGTTGTTATAATCATTAAAAACTAGCTTTGACGTGTCATTTAATTCACTAACAAGAGATAGCTGCCAGAAAAGCATTGTTAGCATCCACAGACCGAGTGAAAGCAAACCTCCTAAACTTACATTTCCTTGTTTTTAAGTCTATTTGAAACTATTTTCTCTGGATATTCTTCTATATACATGTAGGTTAACTTGTACTGGTTGTATCCTGAGGTGCTGAATGCATTTAATCTGTGTTCATCACATGTGAAAGTGCTATAGAGAGTCAGAGTTGAGCACAGAGAGCAGGGGCATGTCTGGGCATATTCCCTGCAGCTTAGCTGACTCACGCTCTGTCAGCTGGAGGTGAACAGTCATGTTTTCTGAAGCCTCTTTCTGCCCAGGCATATTCACTCAAGGGCCAAATAATACACACTTGCACGGATTGGGTCTGGGCATGTTATGCTCCTAAAGATGTGTTGGGATTTGTGCCTTTTTGTGTCCTTTTTTTGCACAATTTGACAAGTTTTGTGCAGAAATGTCATATTTTCTTACTTGTAATTTTAATTAAAAAAAATATTAAGTCAAATTCAAAACCCTCCCTCTGCCCAGACATATTCACTCTGAAGGCCCAAATAATACACACTTGCATGGATTGAGTCTGGGCATGTTCTCCTCCTAAACATGTGTTGATATTTAGGGATTTTGGCCCTTTTTCCACCTTTCTTTGCACAATTTTACAAGTTTTCTGCAGAAATGTAATTTGAATTAAAAAAACATAACATTAAGTTAAACTCTGAATCCTTTATCCAACAGTAGCATTGTGTATATATTAGAGCTGTAACTATTAGGCAGAAAAATAAATCACACAGCTATTTTTTTATTTTACTTTTCAACAACTTGGAGATTTGCTGTATTTGACATATTAAAGTGAATATTATGGGTTTTTTACTGACAAAGAAGACATTTAAAGACTTCTCCTTTAACATAGAAACTAGGATGGACACTTATCTGTTTTCTGGCGTTGTAGTATTTAGTTTGTTACAGAAAATGCTGTTTTCACCCAATAAAACATCGTCATTTTCTGCATTTCTCTGTTTTATACAATATTAATGTATATTATGGACTGACTAAGAAGATATTTAAACACTTCACCTTTAACCTCGAGAAACTATCATGGACACTTTTACAATTTTCTGACATTTTAGGAGACCGAACTCCAAGAAAAAAGTTCTTAGTCGCTCGCGTACCTGATACAAATATATTTATGATGTATTTCTCGTGTCGTTTAATTACTTATCAGGTTTTATACGTTTTCTTGAACACAAGTGTCCGTTAGACCTGTGACGTGACCCTGTTGTCGGGTCAGATGAACACGATGTTGGGTCACACAGGTCAGGATATATATCGCTGTCTCTAATCTCTTGTTGGCTGCTGTTTGTCGTGAATCGTGTCCTCGGGCCTTTCGCAATATAGCCAGCTTCATCGTCGTATCATTAGATGTGGAACTGTAATCTTAAAAAATGTTATTTTCTGATAATCTGACATGTAATGAGATCTCCTTTTTATATACATTTGCCCCTGTGTCCTAAAATGTTAAGTTTCAACAGTTTTCTGAAACATTAACACATAAGAATTTCCCCATATAAGAATAATGATTTAAAAAATACATTACGGTTTATTTTTTAAGTGTTTCAATCCCTTATGTTTTACTAGAGTAGATTGTCAACATAGTACGTCAACAACCACGTACTCTTGCAGAATTTTCAGCAGAAAGTATACAGATATTTAGCTCAAGTTAAAGTACTACATCTACAGTTCAGAAATACTTTGTTATAAGTAAATGTCCCACCTCCGAAACTTAACTAAAGTGAAACGACATTAGCATGAACATTAACTGAAGTACTGAAGGTAAAAAGACTGCAGAATGAACCTGTCTCTGTAATGGGCCATTCTGCGTAATGAGTACTTTACTTTAATGGTTATTCAATAATGGGGTTTTGTCTTTAATGCTGGTAAAGGTGGAGATTATTTTAATGACTTGATGTCCTGCTGGGTAGCCTAACCTATTAGAAACCATTTTAATTCATGTCTTCGAAATCAGAGTAACTAGCACTATCAATTCATTGTGGCAGAGTGAAAAATTCATTAACCCCCCCCAAAAGATGTGCTATAATAGAAGAATAAAGTAGTACAAAATGAAATACTCAACTTTAGTAAATGTAATTTCCACCTCGTGTGCTGCTTTGTGTCTTTCTATAATTCAGTTGTATTGTTGATATTCCTTTACAAAGTGTTACTCGTTCAGCCATCACTGCTTTACGGTTCAGACTTAAACAACTAAACCATATTTAAAATGTGTTTGGGTAAGACTACATTTAACTTCATGGGCATCCCAAAGTGCATTTAGTTTCCTCTTCTCCATCCTCTTAAACCCTGAGAAAGCCTTGTTGTGGAAACACACCGAAACCAGGCTAGAGTCACTGGTTAGTTACGATGAGTTAGCGTGGTTAGCGTGGTTAGCTCGGTTAGCTCGGTTAGCTCATTTTGACAGTAAGGATGATTCACCCTGGACTAGTAGTGGCATGTCTGGCAGAGTGTGTGTGTGTGTGATTGAATCAGCTGTTACTGTCAAATTGAACACACACACACACATTATTTTAAATGTGTGCATTTGTTATTTAGAATCTAGAAATACAACTAAAGAATATTTCAAGTAGTTTATAAAGTGTTAACTATAAAAAAAGGGAATAGCTCATCTCGTAAAGGTGAGGTCTTCAGATATCTTGTTAAATTCCATCAATAGTTAAAATCTAGTCACACACACACACACACACACACACACACACACACACACACACACACACACAATCTATAGAATGCTTTTAGTACAAAAAAAAGTACTTTTATCACATTTTCATCATTAGACCTTAGAGTTATGAAAGATGAGACATACAGGGTCTGTGCTCAGTTACCACACACACACACACACACACACACACACACACACGCTAGAGTAACTGGTTAGTTATGATGAGTTAGCCTGGTTAGCGTGGTTAGCTCATTTTGACAGTAAGGATGACTCACCCTGTGTGTGTGTGTGTGTGTGTGTGTGTGTGTGTGTGATTGAATCAGCTGTTACTGTCAAATTGAACACACACACATTTTAAATGTGTGCATTTGTTATTTAGAATCTAGAAATACAACTAAAGAATATTTCAAGTAGTTTATAAAGTGTTAACTACAAAAAGGGTATAGCTCATCTCGTAAAGGTGAGGTCTTCAGATATCTTGTTAAATTCCATCAATAGTTAAAATCTAGTCACACAAACCCCCCCCCCCCCCCCCCCCCCCCACACACGCACTGCTGACTCAGACTGACTGGCCTGATAGGCCCCACTCAGGGCCTCCTCAGCTGGTCTAGTCCTGACATGTCTGAGCGGCTCTAGTATATATATATGAGAGGCTGCTGTCTCCTCCTCTCTGACTGCACTTTATCTGCTTCCCTTTGCACAGACTGCTGATTCTCTACTCTGTACATACTGGTAAGACTTTTCATTCATCTCACTAACACCCAGACACTATAAAGACAAATGTATAGCTTACAAATACACTTTGTTTCTAACAGTCTCCCCTTGTAACTGTTTATAAATTAAATAAAACTAGTGGTCTAAGTTGTTTTATTCAAGTGGTTGGATTTGAGTTAATTTCTTTCTTTTAATGTGAAAGTTTAAAAGCTGCTTGTATAAATGAAGTTTACTATATTTTACATTATTAATTATTATCATTACATGTGTGACTTTAAATGTTCATTGCAATTAACTTATATTTTATTTCATGATTGTCTACTTTTGGCATGTCTTGACTAGAACAGCAAATGCAGATTATTTTCTATAGTAATATAGAATAATGTCCATCTCAGTTTCAAGGTGTCTCTTTCGGTCAAACCCCAAAGATACTCACTTTAATATCATATCAAAAGTCCATATTTGAGAAGCTGAAAGTAACGTTTTCGACAGTTGTTCATTATTTCTATGTTGACCCTCTAATCGAGTTGTCAACTTAATATCTGCAACTCTGTCCAAAACCCAGCGTATTGAAGACATCATATATTCACATTAACCAGCCGCCACAGCCTCTGACTCACACAGTCGCTTTAAGTTCCCCTAATCAGTATTGTTATGCTATTTAAGGAAAGATGTGAAAAGCGTGATACTCTTAGTGGTTTTTTGGAACAAGCCTTCTTTCTTCCCTCAGTGCTCCGAGGCATTTGAGTGCTTATTTTTAGGCTCTGTGTATTTCCTGCATCACAAGGCAGATGTTTTCTGCTTTTATTGAACACACTGTAAACATCTGCTGAGACAGACAGACGTTGTAACCACCTGGGAACCATAGTGTGGCCTTTATAAGCAGAATAACTTGATGGTTGAGACCGAAACGGAGCCAAAAGGAGACGGAAAACTAACCTTTAATTCACTTGGTTGCCAGAAAAATGAAATGTAACGAGTAAATGGATTTTCTGGACGTGTAGATATCCAGAAGTTATACTTAAACAATAGAGACACTCCGTTACGCAACGACAACGTTTGATAACAGGCCAGGTCTTAAATCTTTCCTCCAGCTGGCTGTAGTTATGCAATGTTTTAGTTTATCTATTGCAGGCTGTCAGGAGGCGCTTATAATAAACTACCGTAAGAGATAAGTATTGGTTACGGTGGATTGTGTAAACTAATCAACGGGTCAGAGGTCTTTAGAGTTTGAGTCAGCAGACCAGGATCAAACACTGATAGTAGCCAAGATGATCGTCCATTTACAAAAGAAAACACTTCAATTCATTAAATAATAATAACACATGCAGGGCTCGACATTAAGGGCTGCCCGATGGCCCGGGGCCATCTAGTATTTAGCTCGGGCAATGAAGCCTCACCTGCTGGTTGCCCGATCTGGCAATCTATCATGCCAGTATCATGCAGCTCGCGGATCAGTAATGAGTGACCCGACAGTCAAACTAAACATGTCTATAACTAGTTACGGTAGTTTGAGAGGGCATTAAAATAGCTACGTGTGATATTCTAACCTGAAGTGTGTTTTGTCCGCTCACCGCTGCATGTGATCATGCAGAGCTGCGTGTCGACTCGTCAGCAGCAGCTGATCTCTCTCTCCCGTCAGATTAGACTTCACTCGCGTTTATGTCCATATCGATCAGATCCAGCTAGTTCTAGCTAATGATATGACTACCTGCTTATTAAAAGACACCTCAACAATAAGCGTCGCTATGCAACCGGGTGAGGCAGCAAAGTATAGCGCAGCATTATGCATTTGTTTACATGCCCACCGGAACCCCGAGGCATTACCAACAGATCAACGCACAATCAACCCACACAGGACATCTCTTTCTCCACATTAGTGTTAGAGATTAGAATGGACTCTTCTCGTCTGTCACATACTCTTCTTGTCTGTCACATAAGTGGCGCAACTGAAGCGGTATTGCGCTAAAGGGAAATTATTTTGACCGGAAATTATTTTGACCGAATAGATTTAGATTTGCCGGCTAACGGGAACTCTGACGTCTCATTTTGTGTGCTTGGCGGATGCGCTCGGCTCCTCTCGACTGCTGCTCGGTCAGCTTCCGGATGAAGAGGCATTCGTTCGACCAACTTACAGTAGATAACATTACAAACATTTTTAACAGGGGCCATAATAGTGTAAATAATGTTTGTTTTGGCAGTTATAACTGAATGTAATGTTTTCTACTTTTTTCTTCTTGACCAACAACTTAAGTATTTCGAGCAAACACAAACAAACAAGTGAAATGAAGAATAAAATTGAAATTGTACAATATAATATTGTGGTGGTTCATCTTATAATTCAGTCTAGAGAACCAGACAGCATCTAAGACCTGCAACAATCTAAATGTTCTAGGGGGAGGCCCCCCAAACCCTCCGTGCGTCAGCGAGCATTTTTCAGGGCAATCTCCATTGGGCTCAGGGCCATCTGTAAATTAGCTTAGACGGCCCGCACTGACATGGTTCATTTGAAACTGCTTTTCTAGGTCCGATCTCTTCCCTTTACTTAATTGGATCACCAGAAACTATAATTATTAGTGGTGCACGATAATTATCGGTCCGATATTAGGAATGATGACGTCCTCCCGATAAACCCGATAAAAGTATTAATAGCCCCGATAATATACAATATATTTTTGGGTAAACAAAAGAAAGAAATACTGCGGTGTGGGTGGATTGGGATGAGGGGCGCTTGTTTTTTACTCGGCTCCTCCCGTTTTGCCAGTACTGTGGTATTAGTGGTTTAGGAAGAGGGGAGTTCTTCACAAATCCAGCGCTCCCTAACTCATGCCTGGCTGTGACGTAAATGGTGTGCGGCCGTGAAGCCAGGACAGTAAACAAACATGTCGCCGGTAGTATGGGACTATTTCAAAGTTTCAGAGTTAGATAGTTCGCTTGCTATTTGTATTAACAAATGCAGAAGTTCCACGAGGAGGGAAAAAGGCAACGAGCTATAATACTTCCAACCTGATTAGTCACCTGAAACATCGCCATCGCTACGATGGTGTGTTGAAAGCGTACGAAGACGCCTGCGCTGCTAAACTAGCGGCGAATCCAAAGCCAGCTGCAAAGGCACCGGGGCTTTTACCTATCCACGAGGCTTTTGGAAAAGGCTTTGAAGAGTCAAAACTGTTCTTGGCTTTGTTTTGTTCATAGTAGTAATGCTCATGTCATTTGCTCACTTCTAGTATTTTCTGTACCACCAGGTGTGCAAAAACTACAGGTACATTTAATATATATATATATATATATTATTATCGGGTATCGGTCTTGAGAAGCAGGAAGTTATCGGTATCGGTTTCAAAAAACCAATATCGTGCATCCCTAATAATTATGGTTTTATATCATGCTTGCTTATGTATTCCTGCAGATATTGAAGTGTATTTGTTGTGGTATTATGTACAAATACTGCACCCTTACCATTAAACCTAACACTCAACCCCCCCAAAAAAGTTGTAGTATACACATACTTTATTAATCCCTCGTGGGGAAATTGTTTCTCTGCATTTGACCCATCCTAGTGTTAGGAGCAGTGGGCTGCCATTTTGAACAGCGCCCGGGGAGCAGTGTAGGGAACGATGCCTTGCTCAGGGACACCTCGGTAGCACTTGGTCTTGCCGGGACTTGAACTGGTGACCTTCCAGTTGCCAAGCCAAGTCCCTATCGACTTCGCCACCACCGCCCCAAATTTAAGTATTTAGCTCATTTGAAGGCAATGCCAGGACTTAAAACGTTTTGGTTTGTTTCAATCCAATTTACTTGCAGGTTCCTTGTAGGGATGGGAACGATTATTCAGGTATTCGAATTATCGGCCCGATAATTATCGGTCTGATATTAGGAATGATGACGTCCTCCCGATAACAGTATTAATAGCCCCGATAATATACAATATATTTTTGGGTAAACAAAAGAAAGAAATTCTGCGGTGTGGGTGGATTGGGATGAGGGGCGCTTGTTTTTCACTCGGCTCCTCCCGTTTTGCCAGTACTGTGGTATTAGTGGTTTAGGAAGAGGGGAGTTCTTCACAAATCCAGCGCTCCCTAACTCGTGCCTGGCTGTGACGTAAATGGTGTGCGGCCGTGAAGCCAGGACAGTAAACAAACATGTCGTCGGTAGTATGGGACTATTTCAAAGTTTCAGAGTTAGATAGTTCGCTTGCTATTTGTATTAACAAATGCAGAAGTTCCACGAGGAGGGAGAAAGGCAACAAGCTATAATACTTCCAACCTGATTAGTCACCTGAAACATCGCCATCGCTACGATGGTGTGTTAAAAGCGTACGAAGACGCCTGCGCTGCTAAACTAGCGGCGAATCCAAAGCCAGCTGCAAAGGCACCGGGGCTTTTACCTATCCACGAGGCTTTTGGAAAAGGCCTAGGTATCGGTTTCAAAAAACCAATATCGTGCATCCCTAATGAATATATTTATTATAATCTTTTTTCTTTGATTTTTTTTGGGAGGGGTTTCTACGCTGATTACATATGATCCAATGGAATACTTCAATGTACACGTCAGGTCTAAAGGTGTGTTTTTCTCCGCTCACCGGTCCCTCACAGCGGGCAGAGCTGCAGGTGCTGATCTCTCTCTCTCTCTCTCGTCCGGTTATACTTCACTCGCGTTTATGTCCAAATCCATCAGATCTAGCTCTAGCTAATGATACGGCTGCTGCCCCTCCCTACACGCAGATCACGTAGACTCAAACCTCATCTTATGCCCACATTCCAGCTGAGAGGGTCTTCTCTACAGCTGGCCTGGTTGTGAATCGCCTCTCCCCTGAGTAGACACGCTCATATTCTTAAAGAAGAATGAGTATTGAATAGCTGCATTCTGTGCATAGCCCTGTTACAGGTTGTTGATCTCTGTTGTCACGGGTTACGTTACCCTAACCCGTTATGTTGTTCGTGTACGATCCCTCTTTCATTTAAAAACCAAGTTATGTTTTAAGCATGAAAGCTGTAGGCCTATAGCTGTCAACTGTTCAAACTGATCACCAGTTAATACATTTAACACATTCGACTTGTTCCTAAACTTATTTGAACATGTAACAAAATATATTTATTTTTTTGGTCAACATTTTTTTTATATGATATGTACATTTCGGTTAACCGTTTTTTTGGGAGTCGAATATTCATTTGCTTTCAAATTCGCATCCCTAGTTCCTTGGAGCCTAATTACTAATCATTGTATTTCCTGTTTGTGTGCAGCAACCATCAACCTCACAATGTCAGCAGAAAGCCAGCTCAACGTCGACACTGCAGACGAGAACCAACTGGTGAGAGACGCGACATAAAGAGTCCCTTAATCTGCTTTGTTTGGGGGGGGGGTGTGTTTTTATATAGCTTTTAGAAACGTCTGCAAAGGCTAAAATCTCAAAGTTCCGGAACACAGTGACATCACTTGGAACACTTGTGCTTCTATTGGCCTCTTTAAGGGGCGGGACATCTCTAAGTTCCACCAATCAGAGCAGACTAGGTCCCCTTTTGAGTAAAATACACTTTTTGTTTGTTTTCCTCCGATTTTTGATTGGAAATAACTTGTAACTGTGTTTAAAAGTTTCTATATAAGAAAATGTTAATGGTTATTTTTTATTTATTTGGTTTTACAGTAGTGTCTGTCCACACACACATGGTCAGAGAACTTTGTAGGAGTGTCTGTTATTCAAATCTTATCTACATTTTGTGTGTTTTTAAGGTGAAACCAAAGCTAGAGTTCCAGACGTTGCTGCAACAAGCTGGAGCCACTAAAGACACTTTCACCATGAAGGAGGTAAACATGGAGTTATTTGTATTTATTGGTTTTATGTACATTTTGAATGTTCCCATGCTAAATATGTGATGTATTGGTCCTGCAGGTGATGTTCTACCTGGGTCAGTACATCATCCAGAAGCAGCTGTACGACCAGAAGCAGCAGCACATCGTCCACTGCTCCCAGGATGCACTGGGGCGAGTGCTGGGCGTCGACAGCTTCTCTGTTAAAGAGCCACGGTGAGGAAGAGGAAGAGGAGGAGGATTTATTAGTGTTTGTTTTGGTTTGCTCTACAGTAACAACAACAACAACAACATCTGACTGTTTCTCAGTAAAGGGACGTTTATGCCAGTTATGGAAAGCAGTTTATTTGACTATTTGTAATACTATGACCATAGATTATCAAATGAAAACCTTATAGCAGGTGTTGAACTTCATATACGTTGAATTTAGTAAGAATAAATACAACTTAAACCGCTCTGGGAGGAATTTTCATGCTAGATTTTGCTCAAAAATTATAAAAACTAGGGATGCTTCGATCGATCGGCCGATACTCACTCTCGGCCGATCGATCGGTGCTCTCTGTAAATGCCGATCAGGAGAGCCGATCACATGACGTAAAATACATGACACTTTTCTCAGTGCGCGGCTAAACAAGCTCACCAACATGGCTTCACCGGTCTGTCAGAATTTGTGTCCAAAAATGACAGTAAAATAGCGGAATGCAACGAGTGTGAAGCAGAAATCCTGCAGCTCCGCCCGCCGTGACAACACACACACTAAGAGTTAGACCTAACACACTGTGCTATTTGATCTACCTCTGGAACTAGTTATACATATTTATTCTTCACTGTCGGGTCAGTGAGCTGCATGAGACGATACTGACCCAGGAGAGGGAGAGACAGATAGTTATGTTGTTTGTGGAGTAATTATACAGTTGTTGAGGAACAGAAATATAGTTTTCTGGCTTGACTTTACGGGGAAAACATTTAAAACCCTGATATAGGATGCAGAAAGTAATGCATCTCATTTAATATGGCATAGTGCAACAACACAGCAAGTAGGTATATAATATAGTAACACATCGGGCTGCTCGATTATGGCAAAAATCTAATCTCGATTATTTGGGTCAATAATTGTAAATGCGATTATTCATTGACTTTGAAAACATCCATTTATTGGAGAAAAGAAATGTGAACAGTTTTAACAGTTGATTACCCTGAACTTTACGTTTAATTCAACTGAAAAACCAGAAATTAAAAAAGTAATAATAAAGAAATTATCGTTTTATTTCGATTACGTTGTTTTCGTAATCGTTGCAAGCCATAATCGTAATTAAAATGCGATTAATTGAGCAGCCCTAGTAACACACATCAAAACTTGATAATAATATATAATTGTATGTTTGTTTCAGAGTTCTCTTCGCTATGATCACCAAGAACCTCGTGGCGATAAAAAGCCAAGGTAAGACCGCTCCACTTTTCATTTTAGTGTTATTTAAATGTCAAGATTGAACACAGTTCTTTATTTATTGCCAAAGGGGGATCTCACTTTCACAATTGCTTTGAAAAACACATGTAATGGACTCATTGCCTTTGGAAACACCGTGCCGTCAGACGGGAAATGTACTTTTTGAAGTAAAGGGGAACTACTGGGCTCGTGGAAACGATTACATAATAAATACATTGGCTGTATCGACATGAGAGGTTTAGGAGACGGAGCTGTGTTTGAAGTCTAAAATAACTTCCTCATTTCCACGATGCAACTGTTCCTCTTCTCCGCTTCCTCTGATTCAGAACACATTCATAAAAAACTAACTTCTTTCTGATTCCTCCTCAGATTCACCACCGAGCCCCATTGAACCCCAAAGTGAGACTCGGGCAGACAAAGGGGCCGAGGTGAGACTCAGATCAAATATAACTGTTGTGTTTGAGTCCGTTTTGAGCAAATCTTACCTCAAAAATCTGAATTAGAAGCGGCTTTATTGCCTAGTAGGTTAACACTTACTGGGAATGTGCTTTCGTTCGAACACAGACGCATTAAATTGTAAGAAAAGGACCAAAAGTAGGACAAGATATTTCAATGCAAACCGGCAGTGGCTCAGTCAGTAGGGGCTTGGACTGTGAGCCGTAGGGTCGCCGGTTCAAGTCCCTGAACAGACCTAAATATGGACTGCTACTTGGAGAGGTCCCAGTTCACCTCCTGCCCTGCCGTGGTGCCCTTGAGCAAGGCACCGGACGATTTAGGAAAATATCTGAACGAAGGTCTGTGGTTGAGACTCATCGAAGAGACGCATCACGTTTTGTTCTACGACATTAAATCCATCAGCAGTGACCCCGCTGGTGATTTCTGAAGAGTTGACGTGTCTGAGAAACGATGGTTGTTACCAAGTGGCTGAATAGGACTACAGAAGTTGTGGAGGCCGTTGTACGTCATTACGCCGAACACGTAAACACTCCTCTAAGTTAGTTTCTATTCTGCTTGAAAGCAAGTCCCTGCCTCCTGCAGAGTGTTCAAACAAACACTTCAACTCGTACCATTTAGAATCTGTGTGTTTGAATATGGATCTGAAGTTGGCGTAACGTTGAAGCAGCGACCCTGCTGTAGCTCCTTTATAGCATCACGTTAGCATTTAGCTTCTGGCGACTAGATTTATGATTAGAAAATTATAAAAGTAGACATGTGGAGATTATCCTCTGAACAAAACGTGATCCGTCTCTTCAATGTGTCTCAACCACAGACCTGATTTCCAGCTATTTTCCAAAACCCTATGGAGACATTGCGTTTTTGTCGAATGAACCGGAAGGAGCTTACTTCCGGGTTTTTGGAGGCGTCACCGTGGCACTGCATGCAGTAATGCTCTAAAAACAACTGCATGCATTTATTTTAGAGAAGTTTTTGTTATTTATCAGAAACTATTAATGAATGACTTTTTAAAGGAGAATATTTTAAATATGAAACCGCATGTAGGGGCATCATTTGCTACGGGGATTATGATGGGGAAGGCAAAGAAAAAATGAAATTTTAAATGGAGTTTTAATATTTTAGAATATCTAATAAATGTGTGTTTGTGCTTTTAGGAGGCAGTCTCAGGAAGCCGCTCTTCATCACCAGAAGGGCGAGGAAGAAGAAGAAGGAGGAGCAGCGGCAGGAGCATCGATGCCGGTGAGTTTAATAATGATATGACTTTTTATTTTATTTATAGAGCGTTTTTCATGGTACTCGCTCCTCTTAAAGGGGACCTATCATGCAAAAAGCACTTTTTACGTGTCCCCGGTGCGTCGGGGAACTCACGCAGCGTCAGAAGATAAAACCCTCTCTCTTTTCCTCCGTACCCAAATCTCTAAAAACGGGGGAACAACGGAGCTGATCCAGATTTGCGTCCGATATGACGTAATATCTGAAATGTGGACCCACGGCCCAATCAGAAACGTTGCTATCAGAAACAATGCCCGACTGTTTTGGACGTAATATGGTCGGTGTTTACATTAGCATCGCTAACACTCAGAGCTAACCTGTACTGGAGAGCATGTGTGTGAAGAAGCAGGAAGTAGAAAGGAACTCACCTTGTGGTATAACCGGCAAGAGAGAAAGCCTTTGAGCTCCAGACTGTTTCAGAGAGAATCCTTGATAATCCATGATATGGCGTTTCATCACGGCAGCATTTAGTTTAGACAGTAGCTGCCGGGTCCCGCATGAGCTCAGCCCCCTCCTCTTTAAAGCTTTATACCCAAATCAGCACTTTAGAAACAGGAAGTGGAATAGAGGGATATGAGGCGTGGCTATAATGATCTGTTTGGTGTTTGGAGCAAACACTTCAATATATTTGTATATATCTGAGACCTATGCTGTTGCCTACAAGTAGCATGATAGGTGCACTTTAAGTCTGAGGTATTAAACTCCAATCACTGCCTCTCTCTCTCTCTCAGGACCCTCACACAGCACAGAGGGTGGTGAAGCTGAGAAAGAGGAGGAGTCAGGGGAGGAAGATGATGAAGAAGGAGGGAGGAAGAGGAGGAGGTCTGACAGCTACTCCCTGACGTTTGATGAGAGTCTGTCGTGGTGTGTGATTGGAGGATTGGCGAAAGACAGACACAGCAGCCAATCGTCAGACTCACACAGCACCGTGAGTATTTACACACAAAAACATCTCATTTATTTAGACATTTTTGTTGTGTTTTTATTACGTTTCATTAGTTTTTCTGTTTTATTGAGCATTTAGTTGCTGATTTAAGAAAAATAATAATATTATTATTTGTAGTGTTTTAATTTCACTGTTAGCTTACAATAATAACCCTCAAAGACACTCATTAGCGTTCATTGTATTCATCATGTGTGTGTGTGTGTGTGTGTGTGTAGTCTGGCAGGTCAGAGCTCACGGTTGCCGCCTCAGACTCGGACAGCGACAACTTCAGCGTGGAGTTCGAGGTCGAATCCGTCGACTCGGAAGACTACAACGAAGACGAAGCTTCTCTGATGTCCACAGACGACCAGGTAAATATTCATCTGTTTACATTTTAAAGAGACCCTATTCTACTTTGGGGGGGGGGGTTTAAATAAAGGTTTTTGTGCATGTAAATGTTCTGCAAACGCTAAAGTTACGGAACACTCGTGCTTCTATTGGCTAGTGCTCCAACACATTGTACCTGAAAAGTATTTTAATGAATACATTTATTTTATTTATTTAAAATGTTGCTATGAATAAAAAAACAAGTTTATTTTTTAGAATTAAATACATGAAAGAAATAAAAGCCTAAACATACTAGAGTTTTTTTCTAGAAGGAAAAGTATAATTTCTTTACATATACCCTGAGTTTTGTGATGCTCCTATTGGCTAGCGCTCCAACACATTGTACGTGATAGGCTAAGGGGCGGGACATCTCTAAGCTGGTTGACCAATCACAACAGAGCCAGCCAGCTAACCAATCAGAGCAGACTGGACATAATGTATGAAAATAAATAAAATACTGATTGTTTTATATATTTTGTTCTCTGTCCAGGTTTACGAGGTCACCATATTTGAGGATAACGACTCGTTTGATGAAGACACAGAGATCACTGAAGCTGTGAGTACACACACACACACACACACACACACACACACACACACACACACACACACACACACACACACACACACACACACACACCAGGTCTAACAGTGTGTGTTTCTCTCTCAGGATTACTGGCGCTGTGTGAAGTGTGACGAGTTGAACCCACCTCTGCCCGGAAAATGTCTTCGCTGCTGGACGCTGCGCCAGGATTGGCTGTCTGAAGCGTCACTCCCCCCAAAGCCCGCCTCCTCCAGTTCCAAAGACCTGCCCACAAAGCCCACCGACCAATCAGCAGCCAGAGAGACTCCAGGTAGAGAGAAGCTGTTTACCTGCAAGGATTCAAAGGTTTTATCGTCATATGCTCAAAAGCTACAGAGTAGAAATGGAATTCTTCTGACCTGAGCTCCTCCAACATAGAGTCAAATACAAATAAAAAGTAGTGCAAGAATACATGTAAATAGAACAGAATATGAAATTAAATAATGTACATTAAGACCAAATTAAATACGGTTTATTGCGGTGATAACTATTTATTTAAATAAGTAGATTGCAAGATGTGGGAAATAACAAAGCGATCGATATTAGACGGACATTTTCTTTTACAATACATTTTAAATCCCCTCGTACTTTTGCATCCTTAACCGATGTCCGCTTTGTCTCCTGTAGGTTCAGATGGCGAGGAGAACGAAGGAGTGGACGTCCCCGATGGGAAAAAGTCTCAGTGCTTCTCCGACTCTTCAGCCCCAAACTCTGAGGAGCTCCTCTCTTCCTCCAAGCCGTCCTCTTCCTCGCAGCAGAACACTCCCGACTCCCAGCCTTCTTCGTCCTCCATGGACTCCCAGGAGCTCCTCCCATCTTCCCCCAACACTCCTCGTCCTCCTGCTGGAGTCCCTAATCTGGAGCGCAGTGTTTCTGCAGAATGGCGTCTTCCCGAGTCCTGCCTGGATCCGTGTATCATCTGTCAGTCGCGTCCGAAGAACGGCTGCATCGTTCACGGAAACACGGGACACCTGATGTCCTGCTACGTGTGCGCCAGGAAGCTGAAGAACAGGAACAAGCTGTGTCCCGTGTGCAGGCTGCCCATCCAGTCCGTCGTCTTAACCTACCTCATCTAGAACATCCCAGAATAACATCCAGCATCTCCCGGGTTCCTTCCGCCTCAACCTTTATGACACAGAGGTTCTGTTCAGCAGGACAGACACTACAAAGGAACGACACGACTTAACATCCCCAATGCTAAGCTAAAGGCGGCTAATTCTTTCATTCAAATGCATTCAAACAGGAAGTTGGAAAAAAGCTCATTCCTGCACCACTCCATAAATTACCAAATTTCAGTTGCCTTGCGTCCGTCCGTGCGCACTCTCTCGCTTTAGGTGACGATCTATTCAAGAAGCTGGAATTATTTAATTTTTGTCAACAACCGCCTAAAAGAAACCAAAATCTAAACCATTTGTCAAAGTTCTGTGATTTGTTCACTTCCTGTTTCTGTGTGAGACGCATTGTTTCCCACTCGTGTCATTTTTGACCGGTTTTTGTTAATGATCTTTTCATTGAGAAAGTTCTTCGAAGTATTCTAATAGTTCAATTTATAAAATAGAGAAACACTTTTTAATGGATGAAAATGTGGTATTTACTAAAGAAGACGGGAGAAAGTGCATATTTTGGGTTATAAACCTTGTGTTGAGCGTCAGTGCTTAATGATGCTTAAACCTAAATGTCAATTCAATTATCTTTCGTTTGGAAGTTTTTCTTCCTCTTCTTTCTTCTGAAATGTCTCGCGTTAGAAAAAGGACATCAGGAAACTGTTGTAATGTTATAATATACGTTTCTCTGTCAAGTTTTGCTTCACTAAATGCATCATTTATTTACAACGGAGTAAATATACCTTATAAAAAGTGTCCGATTGTTTCTTAAAAAATCTCGTACTGTTTTATTTAATAGATTTCCTCGATAAAATACTAACTTTGATTCTAATGAAAAGGGAAAATAGACATTTCCTTTATGGATAATTCTGTCAAAACTACTTTATCATACATTTCTTATTGCAACATCTTCAACACAGAAAACTATCCAGGTTGCACAACGCTTTGGATCCAAGCATCCTTATTTGGATTTAACTGCATTCACACCTAACAGTCCTCTCTCTGCACCAGACGACTGTTTGTTACATTGATTCATTCTTCAGAAGGTTCGGTTTGCAAAACTCAAACTTTAAACACAAGTCATGTGCTCGGAAATGCTGTTCAGCCATTGGTCAGACATTAAGGGGGTAAAAACGCAAATCCCGGCAATTTCTACCGGAGCCTCCGCCATGGAGCATCGGCACTTTCAGCAGGTTATTCTCGTGCTGCTGTTAATCTGGAGATCAACAGACTCTAGCGGCCCGCGCATATGATTATATGATCAGACAACGTCCGTTAAAAAACATTATAACACATGAGAGACGTTCTGCAGTCAGGAGGGCGTTTCACCGACGACAGTGTTCTTACTTTTATGTAGCTGACGGAGCATTTAGACTTTACACGACACTGTCCAACACTTCATTCTGCTTCACTCTTTAACTAAACAACCGTGGATGTCTTGAAAGACTCTTTCGCTAAAGATTTGAAGACATCCGCGTTCTTGTGACACGTAAATACTACGCTTCCTATGTTTTGGTGCGGACTGCGTTCACACCAGAGATGAACCGCTCCAGAGTTCACTAGCAAGCGCTCCGAGACCACCTATTTTAGCGGAGCAGAGTCCGGTTGTTTAGTTCACTTCAGAGGTCTCGCCAGGTTTTGCATCGTTGATTCTCACCGAAGATAGTTCAAGGTAAGAAGTGTTCAAAAAACTCTCGTTAGGAGGTTTCCAACGTCGGGCTATAATATTTTTAGCTGCAGTCAAGACAGATTTTGGGAGTTTTCCACGTAAGGAAAAGGTGAGATTCATCATTTAGAAGATCTTAACCCTATTCAATCTGTAAGGGAACTAGTAACCTTCCCCTGAACGGGCCATTTGACTCCTGGACACAATAAGGGTCTAATTATTAGTGTTAGAATAGAATTGGAGGATGAACCCCTCTTTAATGGTCTCACATGCAGAGCACACAGTGACATGTGTTCTCTGCATTTAACCCATCCTAGCAGTGGGGGGGGTGTCCGGTGCCTTGCTCAAGGGCACCAGGGCAGGAGGTAAACTGGGACCTCTCCAAGTAGCAGTCCACGCTCAATTCTTTAAGTCTGTTCGGGGACTTGAACCCGCGACCCTACAGCTCACGGTCCAAGCCTCTACTGACTGAGCCACTGCCGGAGAGATATGCTCTGACAACATTTCAGACGCATATCCTGATCGTTTGGTTTTTTGAAGCACTAACATTAACACAAATTGCATCCAATTCTTGTCCTAAAGTCAGTGGAGTTTCCCTATATATATTTCTGAGAGCTAAGATCGTTATAAATAAATAAAACTATTTGTTTGGGACTCAGAATATGATGTTCTTTCAAATCTGAGGCTTTACAGGCAGACCTTATCCTAAAAGTAAAAGAAGAGTGTTTTTGACCAATTTCTGAAAGTCAAGATACCATTTTTCCATCCTGCAGAGATTTGATTTAAAACCTTAATCCTCCCCAGCTTTGTTGTTAAATGGTTTGCAGTCAATAGGTTATGATTGTTCCAAAGTGTGGGAAGGTGAGCCTCCCCTCAGAGAACATAAGAACCCTCCCAATTATTGTCAGCGAACCGAGCCGGCCGTCAGCGAACCGAGCCGGCCGTCAGCGGTCTCCACAGACAGCCAAAAATGTGCAAGTGACACGTTTTCTGTCAGACGCTGTCTCCTCTCTCACTTTAGGTAACTTCACAAAAGATCGATCCATGTTGCCGCTCGCATAAAGTTAGCTGACGTTAACTTGCTAGATTTTACGGAGCCCTTAAAGGTTCATGGAGAAAAAAAAAAAGTTTCTCGTTCGCACGAGATAGTTACTGGTGCGCCAAGTAGGAAGTGGAGCACAGAGGAGACAACCGTTTCTTTGCAGACTGCTGTGTTTATGTGGCCACGTTTTATTTATTTTTCTCTCTATGAACCTCCAGGGCTCCATAAGATTTCACTGTTTCTCGTTATTTTGTTCTCACGCTGCGCCTCCCCTGATGCCCCGGCCACACGAGGACGAAAACGGTCGTTTGCGTTACTGTTTAGTGTCATATAGACCGTTAGGCCACACGAGGACGACCGAATACGGCACTAAACGACTGCGTAAACGATAACGGGTCCCAAGGTGGATAGAACGGCATACGCAACGCTCTGGGGGGTCCAACGGCTCCGTGTGTACGCCCTATACGATCATTTTCTGATAATGATGAGGAAATAGCCCGCCTCTCCCCACCTCTGCTGCTCACCCCCGCGTCAAAGTAAACTGCACACTGAATTCAGATTATTTATCTTTCTCTCGATATGGACCTAAACGCGAGTGAAGTCGAATCTGACAGGACGGAGACACCTCTCAAACTACCTAAACTAGTTATAAATATGTTTATACACTGCTTACCTGCAGCTCCTCTCGCTGTGATGCGGCGGTGAACGGAGTAAAACACACACTTCAAGTCAGATCATCACCCTTAGCTATTTTAATTACCTCTCAAACTACCTAAACTAGTTATAAATATGTTTATTTGTACTGTCGGCCGGGTCACTCATTACTGGATCAGCTGCTGCATGAGACAGACACTGGCGCTGTCCGAAGAGAGGGAGGAAAAAGAGAGGCTCCGTGTATTTTATTATTATAATATATAGATTCGTTATTCATTTGTTTTAAAGCTCAATAAATAACAAAGAAGACCTTTGACCGGCACTTTTATAATTTTGTCGGAAGGTTTAAACTTTAATACACGTTGACTGGCGAAAAACTCTGCCCGGTTCCCTCGGCCCCCACCGCGGAGAATAAACAGAAGGGCAACCATGACAACCATGCTTCTTCGCTGCTTTTGTGGAGGAAGTTACAGCGCCACGTACAGGCTCCTGCATATGTACTGCAGCTTCTCCAGCGGTTGGAGCTAAACGGAGCGGTCTCGTGTGGACAGACACTATCCGGATGACTATTGCGTGTGGACGGAAGCTTTTTTGCGACTGTGTTTGCGTTAATCCTATGCGTTTAGCCGTTTTCGTCCTCGTGTGGCCGGGGCATCATGCCCCGGCCACACGAAGCTCTCTGTTCCCCCGGGGAGTTTAAATTGGATCGTACAGTAAACCACATTTTTGGGTCCCTTTTATTGGCGCTATCAATTCTTCTTCCAAGATGAAACGTTATCCTCATCTATAGCTGAGAGATCTAAATGTGAATGCCCAATGATATCGTTTAAAAAGTACAAATATTATTTATAAATGCTCCCGATTAAACCCCATTGTCGCTTTACTTAGTGACGCATTACAGAGTTATTTTTTGTACATATTTGAGAGATTATTCAGAGAAATAGACCCATGAACATTTGTCTTAAGGGCTTAATTATTTCCTTGACAGTTTCCTGGAAAGAGATATGTAATATGTTTGTACAAATGTGAATTTCTAGATAAGAAATACTATAAAAAGTGTCTTTAATTTATTATATTTGCCATATAATATATGTTTGCCTTGCAGTGCACTGACAGGTCTATATTCTTCCCAGGAAACTTCCAAGGAGTGTCTTTTTATTTATTTTGTTTATTTAAGATGCTCATGTGTATTTTAAGCTGTCAGCATTTAAATAAGAAGATCTCTAATATGTTTCTGTTTGAGCTGAATAAAATATGACTTCTGTTTACTTGTTGTTGTTGACTTTCTATATTTGCTTTACTACTCAAAGTTATCAACCAGATGTACTAAATGACTTCATTTAAAAAAATGAAATACATGAAAGAAATACATTAAAAGACTAAACCAGACTTTTTCTAGAAGGATAATTGTTTCACATACTCCCTCATGCTCCTATTGGCTAGCCCTCCAATACATTGTACGTGATAGGCTAAGGGGGCGGGACATATGTAAGCGTTTTGACCAATCACAACAGAGCCGGTCAGCTAACCAATCAGAGCAGACTGGGCTCTGGTTTCAGACAGAGGGTGAAAAGAGGTGCTGCTTTACTTGAGTATTTCCATGTTATGCTACTTCATACTTCCACTTCAGTTCAGAGGTACATGGTGTACTTTTCCTCCTCTACATGTATTTAATACCTTTAGTTACTTCACAGATGTGGATGAATGATGTGAAATCTAATCAAGTGTTGAATCAGACTTTAGTTCCACCTGGAGTAAATCCACCAGCTACCCTGCAGTATACAAAGCCATTCAAACTAGCTGCACCTTTACCAGCTTTGAGAACACTTTCATGATCAATCATTATAAAACATATCATATATATTATTCTGAAATGGACCAATCTGCACAACGACTACTTTTACTGTCTTTCACTATATTTAGATGATAATACTTTCCTACTTTTACTTGAGGTACATTTTGAATGCAGGACTTTTACTGTAACAGAGTATTCCTACACTCTGGTACTTCTACTTTTACTCAAGTACAAGATCTGAGTACTTCTACTTTTACTCAATACAAGATCTGAGTACTTCTACTTTTACTCAAGTACAAGATCTGAGTACTTCTACTTTTACTAAGTACCAGGTCTGAGTACTTCTACTTTTACTCAAGAACAATATCTGAGTACTTCTACTTTTGCTCAAGTACAAGATCTGAGTACTTCTACTTTTACTCAAGTACCAGATCTGAGTACTTCTACTTTTACTCAAGGACAAGATCTGAGTACTTCTACTTTTACCGATCTGAGTACTTCCACTTTTACTCAAGGACAAGATCTGAGTACTTCTACTTTTACCGATCTGAGTACTTCCACTTTTACTCAAGGACAAGATCTGAGTACTTCTACTTTTACTCAAGTACAAGACCTGAGT